GTATGCAGCATTTTCGACAGCGATGATCTTTTCAACGCCCTCAGCCTTCGCAATCTCTTGAGCGACAGACTTGACACCAGTACCAGCGATGAAGCCGTGTACTGTTCCACCCAGCTTCTTCGCAGCTGTGAAGGCGCTTAGTGAGCTGTGGTTAAGTACACCATCCTTTTGCTCGAGAATTGCCAAGGTTGATGCCAGGCGTTGCCGTTGTGCGCCTAAGCTGTAGGCGTGCGCGCGCGCCATGAGGCCAGTGGCCTGCTTTGCCAAAACTCGCTTTGCGGTCGGAAGCATGGTGAAATCGTGATTGATTTGTAGATTGACGAACCAACTGTCCGCTCGAGGAGTAGGAGGATGATGTAGCCCAGGTGAAGTCGGCGACGGTTGTTAGCGGGCCGAGGTCGTGGCCGAGTAATTCAACGCCGCCATCGGTCATTGACCGGGAACTGGCGGCATGTGGATTCGAATGCCGAACCGGCTCAAGTTGCGTCACATGACAGTTCAGACTTATAACTGTTTTTTCTACCTCAGCAAGGTAAACAACGTTTATTTCCCAAGGTTTTAATCATGTATATCGCATATCTTTGGGCTCTCTCTTCCATATCGGAGATCTACATGTTTGGGCTTGTATAGATCCAACAGATTGCTTCCTACTGTACTGAGAGGCCAAGTCAGTGACCGTAATGCACTTGCCTGTTTTAGTACTGTATTTAACAATTCTGAATAAAATACAATGCTTAGAATCTTTCTCAGGCTCGTTCTGTTAGGATAGTTAATATCAATTGTTTTGTTAGCTCTGCTTTCAATAACCTGCCATTGCAATGAATCTGATTAGCTAAGATTGTATCACGTGATGCTACGCCTTCCCCCTGGACCTGCGCGTCGAGATGGTCACGAAGCTGAAGCCAGTCAGTTCGCGCCAAAATTTCTCCAAGACGCGACCCATTTCATCGCAAGACTCCATCAACATCACGACGCTAGCGGCATTGAATCTACGACGACATCCGAATAATCATCTGTTGAAATCGCGATAAACCTTTCCGCTCACAGTCGCGCATTGTCTCTGTCGCGCGCCTCCGATTGACTTGTCGCTTTTTATAAACCATCGCCCACGGTCATCACCAAGATGGATGACAGTGCGACCTATGGCTCGCCTGGCAATGGCGCATCGCCCAACAGTAATCCCATTCTCGCCCAGCCTCCTCTGCAAGGAGATTCTGGCGTTGGCGATAGTGAAGGTATGGGCGCATTGTGAATTACCTACTTATCCAAACAAAATACTCATGGGATATAGATATCCAAATGTCCGAGGGGCTAGGTCTTGATGCAACCATCAAACAGGACAGCACAACTCCTGCACCTGGTAATTGAATTTTTTGAACCTTTGTGCTCGCTTTGCTGATACCTTTAGCTCGTGGCGATGAAGAAATGAACGATGCGCCGTCTGATGAGACCAAGCCCAAGGAAGATGGAGCTGCAGCTACCGATGGTCAAGAAATCAAGACGAAGGAGGTGGTCGAGTCCGCTGCTCGTGAACATCTTATGACGCAAACCCACGCGATTGTCCTACCGAGTTACAGCACCTGGTTCGATATGAACGCCATTCACGAAATCGAACGCAAGGCCATGGCCGAATTCTTCAACAACCGAAACCGAAGTAAAACGCCTGCTGTCTACAAGGACTACCGTGACTTCATGATCAACACATATCGTCTCAACCCCGTCGAGTACCTGACAGTCACAGCTTGTCGAAGAAACTTGGCTGGTGATGTCTGCGCCATCATGCGTGTCCACGCCTTTTTGGAGCAATGGGGCTTGATCAACTACCAGGTAAGCTACTCGCTTTACCAATCTTTACACTTTCTAACACTGGATAGGTCGACGCCGACCAGCGCCCCTCTCATGTTGGGCCACCTTTTACTGGCCACTTCAAGATCATTTGCGACACCCCCCGTGGCCTCCAGGCGTGGCAGCCCTCGGCTGACCCTGTGGTCCTGGAGGGCAAGAAGAGCCAAGATACTGACCAAAAGGCAGCCGCGGCCACTCCGGCCAAAGCAGAGCAGAATCTCGAAATTGGACGAAACATTTACGAGGCCAATGCCAAAAGCTCTCTTATCAGCAAAACCGAGGGCAAGACAAACGGCGAAACCCCGACCACCAACGGCGTACCTGGTGCTGAGGATGCCATCAAAGCCCCTATTGCCAAGGTTCATTGCCACCAGTGCGGTAATGACTGCACCCGGATATACTATCACAGCAACCATACAGATGCCAACCCCAAGGCCAAGTACGATCTTTGCCCCAACTGTTTTACCGAAGGTCGTCTGCCTGCCAACCATAACAGCAGCATGTACGTGAAGATGGAAAACCCCACTTACACATCAACTCTTGATCGCGACGCGCCATGGACAGATGCCGAGATTCTTCGACTTCTCGAAGGTCTTGAACGATTCGATGATGACTGGGGTGAGATTGCTGAGCACGTTGGTACCCGTACACGAGAAGAGTGTGTGCTTCAGTTCCTGCAGCTCGATATCGAAGAGAAGTACCTGGATTCTGAAGCTCCCATCAACGCACCAACTGGCTTGTCCATGCTCGGCCCACAGCAAGGACAGCTTCCCTTCAGCCAAGTTGATAATCCGGTTATGTCTGTTGTTGGTTTCCTTGCTAGTCTGGCCGACCCTGCTAGTACGGCTGCTGCTGCTAGCAAGTCTGCCGATGAACTCAAGCGCAAGCTTCGTAAGCAGCTAGACGGCGACAAGGCCGACGATGAGTCTCAGACCAATGGCGACAGCAAGGCCAAGAACGACTCAATGGACATCGACCTTCGACAAGAGACCACTACCACCACAACCACTACGACAACCACAACGACGAAGACCAATGCACTGGCTTCCATTCCTCTGGCTTCGATAGGTGCTCGGGCAGCAGGATTCGCATCACATGAGGAGCGTGAAATGACACGCTTGGTTTCTGCGGCCTCGAACGTAACCCTGCAAAAGCTAGAGCTCAAGCTCAAGTACTTTGATGAGATGGAGGAGGTTCTCCGTGCAGAGCGACGAGAGCTTGAACGAGCCAGACAGCAACTATTCTTGGATCGACTGACATTCCGACGCAGAGTCAGGGATGTCCAGGAGGGCCTTAAGGCTGCGGCGGCTGTTGGAGGCGAACAAGGTATGCGACTTGCTCAGGAGGCCATGAATGAGGGCGACCGATTAAGCTTCCAGGCTGCCCCTGGTGCATCGGCAGTCCCCCCACCTAGCAGCGATGGTCAGATCAAGAGCTACGAAGCATAAACGTCTAAACTGAGGGTCAACAAAATAAGATTGTCTTGAGGATAATGAGGCATGGAGAATATTTGGGTTTAAAGTCACGGCGCCTGGTGGGTGCGAAGAATAGACGTCTTTCGAATGGTACTACCCGACGACTTGACGCTTCTTCAATAGTTTACGCCTCACACTAGAGCAGGGGTTGGCACAAATGATATCGATAAGAGAGGCGATAGCAACAGCTGCAGTCACTCATGTGGCTGACGCTGGGGACTAAGAAGGTCATTCAGGTGGTTAATAGGCCATCGACACAGACATGCTATTCGATGTAATCGGTTGTGAAAGGGTGTACTATTACATGGTATAGATGCCTTGGTTTTTTTCTTGTTGCTTGGCTGTATCTCATTTAGTCAATGGTTTGTGATATTGGCGAATTGGAATGTTTACATTTGTTCACACCACTTCCTTAACTTATCATCATTCTTGATCTTGTCTAGCAGATGTGATGGCAAGCTTTTATATATGCCACCCTCAAAACAGATTAGTGGTCACGCCGAGAAAGAGTTGCATTCATTTGTGCAGACTTTAACAGAATGCTCCAACAGCACACGTTGCAACGAGGGTTTGGTGTTCGGACAGAGTTCGGACAACCGTCTCGGGCCAACGGTTATAAGACCAAATGGCGATGAGCTCGGGTATTTATTACCAGTCCTCCATGTGCGTGTGCAATGTAATACTCTGTTGAATCTGAACACGCCTATTATTGATATTTCAAAGTCACAGTGTCAGGCTCTTACTCGAGTCGCTTATAGAACTATAGCCATGTCTCGTAGTTCTGGGTGTAGTCCCAGAAGTATTAGTACTCTGGCCTGGCAAGATCTTATGTCATAGGAAAATGATCTCCTAGCTGGTAAGGACACTAATTTAAACGCGTGTTGAATAAGATGTAGGTGGCACAGCATAATAGACTTTTGAGACTTGAGAATTATCAGAATAGAGGTGAAGTAAAGCTCTCCACTTCCCCGCGACCAAGCTATATCATAAACTGGGGTAGTGGAAGACTTAGCTTAGTGTTGAGCAATTGAGTCATTACCTCGCCAGCGGGATTTGTCTATATTGTGAAGTAGTAGAAGTAATGTCGAATAGAAGTCTAGTTTTCTATAATATTTTGCAATATTAAATATCTCTAGTGTTGTAGAAATTATGTGAGCTTCCTAGTGTCTTCCCCAAACCCCAACCCAACCCAGACAATACCTAACTTGACGATTGCCTCGGTGATAGTGGGCTTGGAGACTATCTACAATATCTGATTGGATACCAAGCTTATCACAGGGCCCCCAGACTTCCCCCCTTGTCATCCGTCCCGTCGGCCCTTGAGGTTCGTACCTCGGCCCAAGGCTTTTGAGAGGGGACTCATGACATGACGTCTCCACGCCCGTCACAAGCAAATCTCCGACTTGATAGCCTAACACTCATCCAGACCCTTGATTGGTATCGTGCTTCAACTCCCAGGCACAAGACTAACTGGTTAAGATCGTCTCCATTTTATAACTAAAGATTGCCGCGTCTTCAACCGAGGCCAGAGTAATAAGCGCGAAACCGGCCCTCTTACTATTCTCATATAGAAAGCCGACGGTATCGTCATATCTTCATACTACATATCTACCCCAACCCTTCCGGCTGTCGCCTTCGCTTCTCTTTCTTCTTTTTGGTTGTATCTCCTTCGTGTCGGTCATGTTGGCTTCAGCACGCTCGCCCGCCTTAAGGAACAGCTTCCGTCACTTTACCAAGATACGCGCCGTAAGTCAGCACTGTCCTTCACTTCGCAATGCGCCTTTGTCCTTGTCACGGTCATCTTCACATGTCGATGGACCTTGGTTGGAACCAAGAGTACTTGGCTGGATGTCTTGTCATGGGAGACAGACGACGAGTCATGGCCAAGTTCGCGGGCGACAGGGACTGGGGTCCATTGTTCGCTTGTGATCGACTTCTCCATATTGTTTCCCAGACGGCATGGGTCGTTCACTTCAAAACTTGATCACTACTTTCCCTCTGTTTATCTCACTCACCAAAGAATCTTCTGGCCGATCAAATTTCTAACAGAGTCAATTTAGGCGCAGACTCTAAGCATGTCTCCTGCTAAGCGAGCCAACAGCTCCTCATCCTCTTCAGGTAGGAGAAATCCCAATACGATTATTGCAGCCGATTTGATATACTGACGCGATCATGAACCAGGTTATGTTGAGAACAATTCAAAGGGACCAATGCTGCGATGGCAAGACTCTCTTCCACGATTGCCCGTGCCGACACTCGAGGAGACAGCCAAGCGTTATTTAAAGTCGCTTCACCCTCTCCTGTCTACCAGCGAGTACGAGGCCAGCAAGAAGGCCGTTGACGAGTTTGTGCGTCCTGGCGGCGTAGGCTCGAAGCTGCAAGAAAAGCTCGTGGCCAAGCGTGAGGACCCGAACACCAAGAACTGGATTTATGAGTGGTGGAATGATGCCGCCTACCTCTCCTACCGTGACCCAGTCGTTCCTTATGTCAGCTACTTCTATTCCCACCGAGACGACCGCCGAAGACGAGACCCAGCCAAGCGCGCTGCTGCGATTACAACATCCGTCCTTGAATTCAAGAAGCAGGTTGACGGTGGTACTCTCGAGCCAGAGTACATGAAGAAGCTGCCCATTTGCATGGATAGCTACCAGTGGATGTTCAATGCCTCTCGAGTCGCAGCCAAGCCTGCCGACCATCCTGTTAAGTTCTCTCCCGAGGAGAACAAGCACATCATTGCTATTCGCAAGAACCAGTTCTTCAAGATTCAGCATGAGATCGACGGAAAGCAGCTCAACACTTCAGAGCTTGAGAAACAGTTCAAGCACGTCTACGAGGTTGCCCAGCGTGTTCCTGCTGTTGGCGCTCTCACCTCAGAGAACCGAGACATCTGGACGGAAGCTCGTGATACTCTGCTCAAGGCAAGCCCGAAGAACAAGGACGCGCTCGAGGCTATCGAGTCAGCCTCATTCGTGGTTTGCCTTGACGACGCATCACCCGTCACTCTCGAGGAGCGTGCCCATCAGTACTGGCACGGCGATGGTGCCAACCGCTGGTATGACAAGCCTCTGCAGTTCATCATCAACGATAACGGCACGTCTGGATTCATGGGCGAACACTCTATGATGGACGGTACTCCCACTCATCGCCTCAACGACTACGTTAACGATCTTATCTTCGGAAACAAGCTCGACTTCTCTGACCCCAACATCCGCTCAAACCTACCCGAACCTCAGCTCGTCAAGTTTGAGATCACCCAGGAAGTCCAGAGTGAAATTGATCGTGCTACAAAGGACTTTAACGATATCATTAGCAAGCATCAGCTTGCCGTTCAGGCCTATCAAGGCTATGGAAAGGGTCTCATTAAGAAGTTTAAGTGCTCGCCAGACGCTTATGTTCAAATGATCATCCAGCTCGCCTACTTCAAGATGTACGGCAAGAGCCGACCTACTTACGAGTCCGCTGCCACGCGTCGTTTCCAGCTTGGTCGCACCGAGACATGCCGCACTGTTTCGGATGATTCTGTCGCTTGGGTCCAGGCCATGTCTGATGCCTCCGTCGAAGACAAGACACGTGTAGAGCTTTTCCGCAAGGCAATCAACGCCCATATCGAGTACATCACTGCTGCATCCGACGGCAAGGGTGTCGACCGACATCTCTTTGGTCTCAAGAAGCTCCTTGAAGCTGGCCAAGAAGTCCCCGCCATTTACAAGGACCCTGCATACGGATATTCCAGCTCGTGGCACCTGTCCACTTCCCAACTTAGCTCCGAGTTCTTTAACGGTTACGGTTGGAGTCAGGTCATCGACGCTGGCTTTGGTATCGCATACATGATCAACGAGAACAGGTAAAGACAGCAATCCAAACGTGAACCAACTTTACTAACAACTATTATAGTCTTAACTTCAACATCGTATCCAAGGGTCTCGGCAGCGACCGCATGAGTTACTACTTGAACGAAGCTGCCAACGATATGCGCGAGTTGCTCACACCTACTCTGGAGCCTCCCAAGGCCAAGCTGTAATTGTGTCTGCCCTCCTATAAGAGGATAGAGATATGGAATGCATATAATGGATATTGGATATTGAGCGAGATTTCGTTTTGGCAAATCAAACATAGATTAGACATGCATTGACATGAGAAACCAAAAAAATGAATAAAAGGTTATCAAATCCAAACAGTCACTATTTACTTGGGTTGCCATTGTATGTCTAAGCACATCTCCAGAGCCTGGGCAGAAAGGTTGTGGTAATATCCCAATCCTACATTGTCAGATCCAAAGTGCCTTCTGTATTAGCCGGCGTGAGCCACAATTTCGTTGACCAAGTCTCCCTTGGACTCGTCGTAGTAAGAGCAGATTTGCGAGGGCAGAGGCACCTCCCTGTAGTCATCGTCCTCGCCAGAGATAACGTTAAGGTTGATGCCCGCCGATTTGCTTGTGAAGACCTTGGTTCCTATGCTTTCCTTGCTGAAGTAGATTTGTGCGCTGTCGATCTGGTCAAGCATAACGGTAGGGATGGTACCCATAACCTGAAGAGCGAAATTTTGAGCCTTGACAACGTCGACGGTTGACACAAGGGTGTCAACGATCAGCGAGAGTCGAGTTGAGTTCTCAACCGTGACTTGGTTGGCCTTGCCCCTGACAATGATAGTGGTGTTGTTACAACGACTGATAAGAATCGAGTGCGTCAAGGAGGCTTCAATTTCGATGGGCTCGGCTTCCTTCTCAAAGTTTTCCTGGATTGGGTTAGCTGCTGTCACTTTCCTTCATGAGGGACGCCACATACAATAATCCATTTGTTGCCATCAAGCTCCTTCTTCGGAGGCTTCTTGATACGCATACTCTCGGGCTTAGGCTTCTTGCCAGGAGCAGGGCTCTTACCCCTCTGGCCAGTAGAAACCGTGGAGCCGCTTCGAAGGGATGGGTTCTTGTGAGTCATTTCAGACTTGTCCACCTTGCGCAAGCCTTTGGTAACAGCGTCGCCCTTGTTGAGTTCCGAGAAAACGGCACCCAAACCGCCAGATGGGGCAGCCGCGGGGGCTTCCTGTGTCTTGATATCCAAAACAGGAGGGGGCCCAGGGGGAGGAGGCGGTGGGGGAGCTCCTCCAGCAGGAGGAGCAGGAGCAGGAGCAGGAGCAGGAGCAGGAGCAGGAGCAGGAGCAGGAGCAGGAGCAGGAGCAGGAGCAGGAGCAGGAGCAGGAGCAGGAGCAGGAGCAGGAGCAGGAGCAGGAGCAGGAGCAGGAGAGGGTGCGGAGTCGCTAGACAGCGACTGTAGGACTTCCTGGACAGATTGCCCCTGAGGATTCCATGGGATACCTGTTGAGAAATATTGCTTGACATAATCGGCAAGATCACGGAACACCTGGTAGAAGCTCTGAACCCACTCGATCTGCTTGGGATCCCTGGACACCTGGTTAAATATGTTTGTGTTTTCCAATTGGCATGACTTACTTCTCCTTGTACTCCTTGAGGACCCTGTTACCGAAGAACTGAGCCGCGCCTAGGCATTCGTCCACATGCTTAAAGGGACGAGTGTCAACAGTGACCCAGGCGAGAACCATGATACCCTCAGAAACAGTGCTCAGTTGTGTGATCATGGGGCTGGGGCGGTTGTTGTCCTTGATCTCGTTGACAGCCATAAGTGCCTCGTTAATTGGCTTAATAAGATTTTGGAAGACGGGCATGCCGGAACCAGATAGATCAGGCTTCTTTGCCTTGGTCGATATCAAAAGAAACTTGCGCTGTTCCTGGAAACCAGTCTTGACAAGGGAAGCCTAGTATAGGAGAGAAAATTAGCATTGGTCATGGCATGATTGTTGCATCCATCCTCAGCATGGAGTGTGTACCTGTTCAGCAACAAGCCCGCCGATCTCGTGACTGAGCTTAACATAATTCTCAACGGAGGTGTTCAGGAAAGCATCGAATTCCTCAATGGACTCAGGAAGCGGCTCAGCTTCAGGCTCGGGCTTTGCGGATTTGGGGATGGAAGCCGGAGGGGGAGCAGCCGAGGAGGGGTTGAGGGGAGAGGGTATCGCCTGGTTCAGAACATTGGCGTCGGCGGGCGGATCGGTTGCAGAAGCGATGTCCTCGAGACGAGAAGTTGCAGCTTCGAGTCTAAGTCGAATCAGTGCCTGCGCAGCTTGCGAGACCAACAAATTGGGCGCAGTGAGCTTACCGCTTGATCAGGGTGGTCAAGTTGTGCATCTGACTATTAACCGCCATGGTGCCGATTGCGAATTGCTTTGGCCGAGGGAAGGTATATGCGTTGTAGTCGGGAGGAGTTGGAACTGAGTTGTCTCGTTGAAGGTGCGCGCAAGATTGACGATAATCCTAGATTATATATAAAGGAGGGTTGGTTGATGGGCAACGACGCGTTTAGGCAACGGACGATGGTACCTAGGCAGTTGCGCAAAATGGGGTGATGGTCGGTTGCCTTCGCTTGGTGTTAATTAAATCGATCGAGGTAGAGAAGAGCAAAGCTTGTACCTACTTGGTGAGCTTCAGTTATAAACTCAATACTGAGATAAGGCTGAAGAAGCAAAGAACCGGGAATGAAGATGGGTGAATGATTGGAGCTCGGTTGAGGAGGTTCAAGATCCAAATAAAGAGGGCCTAACAGCAGGCAGGGGAAGCTGAGTGATACTGAGAGAGTACCTTATGCGTAGCGTGTCAAATGTGTAGATTCGGGTACTAGTAAAGTACCTTTCGACGATGAACCTTTTAGGCCAGCTGTAACTGCTCAGGTGGGTAAGGTTGCATATAATTAGTACTGGATAAAAGAGACAGCTGTCTGCCCGACAATAAACACAGGCTGCTATATAATGTCAAATTTGGGACTGTCTCATGCTGGTTATATTTTTTTGTAAATCATTATGGCTTGTTCGGGTTCTCTATGGCGTCTTCAGGCATTCCAATATTATAAGTTACGCCGGAACCGGGCGAAAGAACCAAAGCTCTGGATCGTCCCAGCACTGGCATGGAGGATAAGTTAGTTGGCTACTAACCTACAAAGCTGAGATATACAAGTCCGTCATCAGAAACCAAATTCAACAGCGCACATATTCACACTTGCACGCCTAGAAAATATATATTACTTTACTATCTAGAGCACGGTATCGCTAGCTCTTGGCCTATTTTATCATCTCGCGCCCCAGGCCCTCTGGAACTTGAGGATGAGATGAGCGCTCACAAGGGTAGCCTTGAAAGCACGAGTTTCCGGGGCAGAGTGGAAACCGTTTACGAATAATAGAACTAGGATATGCAAGCCAGCAATAGCTCTGGGGCTATCAGTAATTTAGACAATAATCTATCATCAGGCTGAGGCCGGACGAATATAACTGCGCATCACTATCCAACATCGCCGGAGGGTGGTACAAGCCTGTCATAAAGCTTCTGAGGTCCACGAAGCATGTAACAATTACTTTGCAAAGGCTATAAAGCTCGTGATTCAAGCACAAGCGATTGAAGCAATTATACAAATGACATAAAAAAATAGTGAAAAGAAATAGTCATTTTATAAGTATTTCTTGAAAAAGATAAAATTGCGTTTTTTTGGTAGGTCAGAACTTCTGCGCGGAACTGCATGTATTAGATCAAAGCCACGTGGTCGTTTATCAATCGAAGCATTCGACCAGCTTTCGAGAAGCTTTTAAGCGATAAGGCAGGCAATATTGAGATACCTAAGGCGAGACGCCTGGCCATGCTGCTGTGGTATTTATTCAATGTTCTTGACCGACATGGTACAGGCCACTTTTTCTAGGTACAGTGGTTATTAATGGCACATTGAATATTAATAGGTATCCCAGGCAGTTGGTTAGAGAAAGATAGTGTAGTAGAAGGACATGTAGGTGCCTGACTAAAGTAGTAGGTACTTTATTTAGCCTGCCCCCAAAACACAAACTCAACACCAACGCAGACACCGCCTACAGTCATTCATTCATTCGTGCTTTGAGTGCACCCTCTTTAGCTCCTTATGCTTTCATCTTCCTATCTTTTGCAGTACTACTTTATATACTTTACACAACTTGAAACAGCTGACACTCACCATATCCATCAAATTATGAGCTGAGCCGCCACAAGACTACCTCTTCTTTTGCCTATACTTTTTGTGCCAAATTTAAGCATTTGGACCCCTGTTTTTCAGCATCGCCAAATCACCGACTCCACCGGCCATTAAAGATTTCCCAATCTCCTGTGCAACGACAGATAATCAGACGACTGTCTAGTTTGCAGAAACATCTTTTCAGCTTCGATTCTTACTTGTAGTCGCTCAGCATCTGGACCTACTACGCACTATCTTGTCCATCTCACCATACCAGGTAGTCGTTGAGTGAGAAATCGAGCCCCTCCACATCATGGCTGATCTCGCCGAACGACCAGCGCTTGAGCTGCAGACCGATAATGAGAAATCTGACCTACCGAATGAGGACGGCATAACTTTAGAGAAAACAGAAGACCCTATTCAAAGCAATGATGTTGACGCTAGTGCTGATGCTGGGCAAGAGCCAGAGCCAAAGACAGAAGAGCCAGAAGAATCAAAACAAGATGATACTCCAGAACAGGCAGTCCCAGTTGTAGATGAAAACACCGCGGACGAGGAAGAAACTCAACAGAATGTCCCTATCGATTTTGTCACCATGGGCATGTTTATCATCGGTCAGTAGATTCATTGCCTTCAAGCGCTGTCACATTTGAGGCGCTTCATCATATTTATCGCCTTGCTTAAAGCATAGAACTAACCTGATTTTAAGACGATATCGACTTCATTCCCCCTACTGAGCCTGTCAAAGACATCCTTGGTGGCGCTGGCACCTACTCGGCGCTGGGAGCTCGACTTTTCTCTCCTCCACCTAAATCTACCTCTGTTGGCTGGATTGTCGATCAGGGCTCCGACTTTCCCCCTTCTCTCTCAACACTCATCGACAGCTGGTCCACCTCAGCCTTGTTTCGCCATGATGGGCTGCGGCTAACTACACGAGGCTGGAATGGTTACGAAGGTACTGCTGAGAAGCGCGCTTTCAAGTACCTGACTCCCAAGAAGCGTCTGACTGCTGAGGATCTTACCCCGACCTTGTTGCAATCACGCTCATTTCACCTGATATGTTCTCCGAACAGATGCAGAGATCTTGTTGCAGAGATCACATCACTTCGTAAAAAGGTTATGCCTGCTGAGTCGTACACCAAGCCCATCTTTATCTGGGAACCGGTACCTGACTTGTGTACCCCCGACGAGTTGCTCAACTGCACCAACTGTTTGCCCCTTGTGGACATTTGTAGTCCAAATCATGCCGAACTAGCTGGTTTCATGGGCGATAGCGGGCTCGACCCGGAGACAGGTGAGATTTCGACAGTTGCCGTGGAGCGAGCCTGCGAGCAGCTCCTTGCCAGCATGCCTTTGCAATCCTTTACTCTTGTCGTTCGCGCCGGTGAAAAGGGGTGTTACATTGCGAAGAACGGAGGAAGGAAACGAGGGCGTGATCAAAAGACCACCAAACGACGAAAGAAGGACTACGTTAGAGGCGGTCTACAGCACGATACGGATATGGAGGCTCTGTTTGCTGGTTTACTCCAGGACGCCGATGGCTTTGTCGCACGCGAGGAGATCGAAGTTGATCCAGGTATTGAGAAATGGGTCCCTGCATACCACGCAGAGCCGTCCAAGGTTGTTGATCCTACCGGAGGTGGAAACACCTTCTTAGGCGGCCTTGGAGTTGCGTTGGCACGAGGCGAAAGCATCGAAGAAGCCGTAGCCTGGGGAGCTGTCGCTGCAAGCTTCGCGATTGAACAGGTCGGCGTTCCGACGCTTGGTAGAGATGCAGAGGGCAGCGAAACTTGGAACGGGCACAATGTGGAGGCTCGTCTGCGGGAATTTCGCGAACATCTATGAATAAATTTTGTCTTCTTACAATAGGTAATGCCGTACTAGAACAACAAGCCTATAGATCGTTGCTATACGAAGCTTCTGTCATTCATCGTCAGTCATGCAAGTCGCCCATGCTGTATTGCCAACACCATATACTCTCTTTCAATCGGACAGACCCACAAGAGGTCTTCTACTATTACATATCAAACTAAACATCCCCCAATCTCTATTGCCTGCTAAGCTCTTGGTATCTCTCTGTTTGCCATCGCTAGATCTTGATAACTTGTTGATCATCATTCGTGAGCCTGGAGTCAATGTTAGTCAACGCGCATACTTGACAATGGATGTTAGGGGAGGGAAAAACTTACATGATTTGGTTCGCTTCATTCATCTTCTGTAGTGCCTTCGTCGCCTCGACCTTGTCGAATACGTTACGTCTTCCAACCTTGCTGTTGACGGCTTCGATAACTGCATCTACCTCGGCTGTGTCGTCCTCGAAGAGATCGGTGTTGAGAAGCTGGCCAAGGGTCGTCCGGAAGGTTGTCAGGCGCTGAGAGGAAATGGGGGTGTCATCGATAGCGAGCGCAGCAGTTTCGTCGGCAAGATCGTCACCTTCTTGAGACTCGAGTTGGCTCTCAGATGGAAGTTGCGAAGAAGGCATCGATGAGGCGAAGGAGGTCTGTGATGACTCTTGCACCCTCCTGCCAGAGCGACGTGGTGTGGCCTGGGATTCGTTTTCAGGTGCTTCGGGTTCTCTACTGTCGCTGGTTCCTCTTGTTTGGAGGCGGTTGCTGTTGCGAGTCGTTCTGGAAGCGGACCTGCTGGCCTGTGTGCCATTTGCTTCATCCCCATCCTCATCGTCGCCCGAGCTCTCGTCGCTGGACGACGCAAAGTCGACTGTTTGAGTCTTTCTCCTTTTCTTTCGTGACTCTTCCACAACTTCTTTGAATAAAGCAAATCTCAGAATTCCCTCTGCAGCAAGCGCATCGCGCTCCTCAATTCTGCTCGACAAGCGAGACTTGGCATGCGCCGTAGCAAGACGAATGATGGTCTCAAGGGTACGGACAGTCAAGGGACTTGTCCTTCGCTGGTTACCCTCCATCTCATCATTTCGTAAACCAACATAGATGTCATTGATGCGGTCAGCGGCCTCCTGGGTGAGTACAGGCTTGATTCTTGTCTTGGCGTATTGTATGTACTTCTTCATAAAAGGGATACTCAGAATTTCGGGTTTCTTGTTCGCACCTCGACCGGATGTAATGGTAACACCAGAGTGAAGCATTGCATCGAATTTCTGGTACACGTCGGTTGGTCCCTGAGTTTCATTCTGGTTGGAAGTTGCTACACCCAAAGACTGTGTTCCTTGTTCTCGTACAGGTGCACCTTCTTCCGTTCCTGGCTGACGGTATCGATGCATACGAAGGACATGCTCTGAGACGTGTCGATCACGAGTGTCTTCAATGTCATCCGTGACAACAAAAAGTAAATCAAAACGTGAGAGGAGAGAGTCTGGGAGCGCGATGTTCTTGTGAGGATCCTTGTGAGGGTCATATTGGCCAAAAACGGGATTGGCAGCAGCGACTACACTGCAGCGAGCATTCAGGGATGTGTGGATTCCTGCCTTTGCGATGGTAACAGTCTGCTGTTCCATGACTTCGTGAATCGCAACTCTGTCCACGTCGGACATTTTGTCGAATTCATCGATACAAACCACACCACGATCGGCCATAACCATTGCACCAGCTTCAAGTCGCCGTTCGCCCGTCTCCTTGTCTGAAGTCACGGCCGCAGTCAGACCAACACCTGAAGAACCGCGACCTGTTGTTGCAATGGCCAGTGGTGCTGTATTTAAAACGAAGCGCAATAGCTGGGATTTGGCGGTAGACGGATCACCAACCATCAAGATGTTGATATCTCCACGCAAATGTGTTCCGTTCTCGAGGTTTTTCTCGATACCCCCCAGAAGCATGAGTAGGATGGCTTTCTTGACGTAGTCATGGCCGTAAATACTAGGGGCAAGAGACTGTGACAGCAACTCTAGCAGGTTCTTTTTCTTGGAAACCTTGTTGATGTTGCGAATATCGGTATCTGTGATAGTAGCAGTCGCAACACCACCGCCAGATTTTGATGACAACAAAACAACGTTGTTGGTTAGAATCATTGTCTTGAATAAAGCGCTGTTGTGATTGGTATTTCGGTTACCCAGGGTCCGGTAAATGCCTACCAGCTGAACTCGATCACCAGGTTTCACGCTGTCCACAAGATCGTCATCAAGAATAGCGTCCACTCCACGAGGAAGCTGGCCTGCAGGGGCGCGCTCCGGCATTTCCTGAATGGAGATTGTCTGATGATCGCGGTACGTACAAAAGCCGTACTCTGTAACAAGGGGGTTGCCGTCGTCGTCCTCGCGAGGATACACACTGGAAGTGGTGACTCCGTTTGTCATTGTTTGATCTTGATATTCGCGGAAATGGAACATGTCTTTCGTCTCGTTGTAGTGCACACTCTTCACAACCTTGGGTCGGATCAGGGAGCAACGTGTTACGATTCCCTCGATAGATACCATGTAGTTGAGAAGATGGGACGACAGGGTACGCGGATTGCAAGAATTCAAGCCGAAGCTGCCTGCCCATGCGCAGTAGTAGATGGTATCCTTCGCGGTCTGGTCCGGTCGTGCTTGCGGGATGGTTTGAACAATATTCTTCAAGGCTTGATCAAATGCCAGGGTGAAGTCGAAGGGTTGCTGCAGCAGACCCTGTGCGAGGTCTTGATTATGATTGCGTACATGATCGAGGTTGACTATCAGGCGGCGCTGGTTCTTCTGGAGCATGAGAATGATGTCTGATCGATAACTTCGGACTTGGGGATCATCTTTGTATCAAGTGTTAGTAGCAGGCGGCAACGATAACAATATTTGGTAGAGGAACGATTGGGCGGTGTACATACTGGGATCGAGAAACTCTTCCGCCTGGCGAATGCGATCACGCACGCCTTCATCCTGAAGCATAAAAGAATCCATGATGGCGATCTATTTTGCGATGTCTTTACCAACAAGCGGGTTGGACAAAGATGGCATTCACGAATATAAGAATCGAGGGGTGAAGTAAACCCAGGCGGGGCGTTGCTGGGGCTGCTCCGAAACCCTGTCGCGCCCCTGCATTAACGCGTACCTGGCACTTCGCGTAAAGTGATTGTTGCTTACAGCCACACTTCAGCCACTGTCGCCTAAGAGAGGCCGCTATGGCATGTCATGTAACTTGTCTCCCAGGGGCAAGCCTGTAAATACGCCCATGCCTATTACAGTAATAACCTATCAATGGACGTCAGGTTACCTGTCAAGGGACCAAGTTACATACCTACATCGGCGCCCATTCCTGGGCAATGACCCCCCATTTTAACCATTCACCAAACCTAACACTGTCTCTCCTTACCTACTACCTTGTCGCCTACAAACCGCTTAATCACCTAGTACATGACACAATCAGACAGCTTTACTAAACAATGTCAGTCGGACTTGCTGGCGGCGCGCACAGTGCCTTGGACGAAGAAGCCAGGGCCGAGGTTGACGTCCTCAATTCGCGACTTGAGAAGACAACGCAATTGACCAAGAAGATTCAATCCTGCCTCAACAGACTCGAGACAACAGGAAAAAGTGTCCAGGATGTTGCAGGACCCCTGAATGGAGAGACTAGGCGACTACAAATACTGGGGAACAGTAAGTGAATAAAGATGTCTATGATCAATAACCATGCTAACCGCGCATTAGACGTCGACTCCGTCCTTTCTGCGATCGATCGCTTGCGCCAACCTGCAGATAGCAAGAATGACGAGGAACAAATAATCCGGGTCGGCCCAGAGAAGGCTGGTCTATCTACCTACCTGGCCTCTATAAAGCGCCTAGGCAAAGCCTTGACTGAAATGAAGGCATCGAATCTGCGCGCGAACCAGCAAACTATGACTGATTTGTCACGTCTCATCAAATCAGGCAACAGTCAACTTGAACATCATTTCGAGACTGTGCTTCGCGGTGAGACACCACGAGCTGTTGAGCCACTGCACTACATCACGAAAGACAAGCCCTTCCCAACACTTCCTCAAGACAAGATCGCCCGCCTTGGTCTTATCTATTCTTATGTTGCCGAGAGCCACCATAATGGCGCTTCCGAGCTGGCTCATATATACGCAGAGGTGCGCGGCCCATACCTCTCAACATCTTTAGCCAACCTTGCCGCTGCAAGCGTCAATACTGCTAAGAAGAAAAGCCCGGATGCTGTTTACCGCGCGGGTACCAATGGCATGGGGACTTATGCACAAGCGATGGAAGGCTTGTTCCTGTCCGAGTACGACAACGTCTGTAGTGTTTTCTCTCGCGAGGACTGGCCAGTTATTTTTCTATCAACTTGCCAATCAGCTTTGGCAGAACAGGCACGATGCTTACGTGAGCTTAATGCTCATATCAAGAGCCATCTCAACACAGATTGCTATCTGGCTTATGAGATCACCGAAATCATCTCTGCACTTTCTGGAAAGCTCGAAACACGAACCGGCGAATTAAAAGGAGCACTCGCTGCTGCATTGAAACCTGTCAGAGAGACCGCCAAGTCGTCTCTAGCAGAACTTCTAGAGGAAACAAGGCGTAAAGTTGGGATGCTACAGATACTACCATCCGATGGTGCACCAATACCCTTGGTATCAGAGACAATGCAGCGCCTTCAAACCATGGTGCATTTCCTGCGCCCAATCTCCAGCATCATGATATCCATTGGGGACGGCGGTTGGAAAGCAAACGCAGCAACGAATGGGCGCTCTACGGATGCTATTCCCAGTCTAGCCTCTTTTGATATCGGAGCAGACGGCAAAGAAATATTCTCGCATTATTGTCTCGACACCATCGAAACGCTTTTGTCCGGGCTGGACCAGAAATCACGCATACTCATGAAGAGCAAGGCTGTTGCCGGAGTATTTATGGCCAACAGTGTCATCATTATTGGGCGAATGGTTCAAACCTCAGAGCTCAACGACCTCCTGGAAAACAAGCTTGATATTCTCGAGCAGTGGCGTAAGAAGGCAACGGCAGCTTACACAGACGTGTGCAAGGACCTTTCTGTACACCTTTTCGATACTGTTCATACTAATCGGACCCATCGACCTACATCCGGACCTGTCGATTCGACATCCATCGTTAAGGGGCTAGGCAGCAAAGACAAGGATAAGATCAAGGAGAAGTTCACACAGTTCAATGGCGCGTTTGATGATATGGTGTCCCGCCACAAATCTTACAGTATGGAACGTGAAGTCCGGCGGATATTTGGAGAAGATATTCGTCAAAAACTACAGCCTCTCTACGAACGATTTTGGGACCGATACCACGAGATCGACAAGGGCAAAGGCAAGTATGTCAAATATGATAAGACATCCATTGCTGCAGTTTTTGCTAGCCTGGCTTCCTGAGGGCAGTTTCATTGAAAAATCTTGCGTATACCCCAATCATTCATTATCGCCGACAGATCTTGCAACCTATAATTTCATTCACATTAGGAATATTAAGATGACAAACAAAGTCGGTATTCCTTTTCTTGAACTAATGGTCGAACTGGTCACAAGCTTCCTGATCTCATTTCAAGGCGTTGCGATGACTCCCGCTTTTCCACAGAACGCGCGACATGTGATGGCCCAACCTGCAGTCTGCAAACGTCTGTCCAGCTTCCAGGGGTGACTTCGGAACCACGGACTCCTCCCATCACACCCTCTCGAATGAGCCTGTTTGGGCGTCCCGTCCGGTTTGTCCTTCTGTCGATTCTACACTTTTTGATTCGGCGAAGTGCGCAATAATCAGGAAGGGCATCTGGGGCAGGTACCGCAGTAGTCATGTGTTCCAAGATCACTGGCTTTGCAACAGGCTGTGCAGCAGCTATTGGTAGGCGTCTGAACCTCGGAGTTGGTCATGGTGAATAGTGTGAGAGGAAAAGTTCAATGAAGCTCTGTATCAATTACTTTGCTTTGGAAGCGCAAGAATGGCGGTATCAGACTGAGGGAGGAAGTGTTTGTACTTCTTACAAGCATTCGGATGTTGATCGGGGAACCTGGATGCTTTATACTTGGCCTCATGAAGGGGCGTAATGAGAGGTGCCACAATCTCCTCATCTCCAGGCCTAAAAAGTCAACTGAGGATGCCAATTTGAGAAAGGCCGTGGTTGATGGTAGGATTCGGACTTCCTAGGCAAGGGCTTTGCGGCCTTCCTCCTACGGGATGGGCGAAACGCGAAACAATCTCGCACGCCACGTAGCTCGTTATGATGTACAGATTTAACGTCTTCCTACGGACTTACCATGCGCTCTACTGAAAATGACAGCACTCTAAGCCAACCATAACAGTCATCGTCATCATGCATGTAAGCTAAGCCCCGGGCTTCTGGAATTTCGCGTATGACAAAATGGAAGCTACTGTAGAACACGGTAGATCCCAGATCCTAGTCGGCTTGGGAGGTAACGGAAAAGTTGACATCTAAGCTCCAATACACACAATAATAAATGACACGAATCTGCTCCAAGACAACACAAACTGAATCACTAATTTCATCTCGTATGCTTCCATCAATCAACGTTTTTGACCCCCAAGACAGACCAGGTAGGTGGCGGCTGTCATTTACTCATTGCAGAATGTATTGGTTGGGAATTGCATGAAATCCCGTTCCTGCAATGTCGCATGATCTACAATGTGTTTCCATTTAAGCCTCGGAATGGCTTGATCTTGCTAAGCAATATGGCCTCGCGGTGATGGAACAACCTTCTGGTCAAGCTTATTGGACAGAGCAACGAGGTATAGTCCTTTCATGAGGTCCTATAGACTTTGTTGTTTTGCTTAGGATGGAGACAACAAATTGAGGCTCATCAGTAGAATGCAACCAGCTGTCATTTCACAAGCTAAAATAGTATCACAATTCCTCATGGGTCGATATAATCAGCGCATAGCCTCGGTATCGTTACAACGGTTATCTCATTTAGTTGACAGCACACCAACTATATTTGAAACACATTAGCTGCTGCGCTTATCTATCAAATCAGTCCCTTGCCTATTGGATAGCAGAAAAATGGCCTCCTAAGTCTTAGGGTATAAAAATAAATAGTCTAAGAACCGTAGTCTAAGGAGCATAAAGTGACCTACTAATTTCGTCTCTTATGCTTCCAGCGGTCAATTTTTCTGATACCCTGAAGCTTGCTACTGAGTGGTCGGCAAACGTGATTTGTAAATTGCAATTCCCTTGTGTTTTTCGAACAATCTGGCCTCAGACATCTGTTGTCGGCCTCTTGATGCCGCTACCGAAGATATCATCAGTCCGCGTTCGGCGCTCCCACACAATGACATTATCAGCATTGCGCTTGAAGTACAGAATGCGGTGTTGTGGGATAAACTCCTCGTCGGTCTGCTCGCTCTTCCACTGTTCCACTGCTCTTTCACGAGCCCCTAGGAAACGGTCCTCGTACCCAACGATGTAGTCGCTTGTGTCGAAGTTGGTATCCCATCGTATCCGGTTGAGCACATCGGCAGCCGTGCGAAATTTACCAAGTCCAGGCGCCTTGCCTACTACTGCAGCTCGAGACCCGTGGGTGCTGCCCTTTCCTTTCAGTTCTTCCTCATCGTTGTCGAGTTCTTCCTCCTCTTCAAGCTCTTCATCCGAGTCCTCGTCGTCTGTATCTCCGGCAAATTCCCCCCATAAACTTTGATCAACTTCCATCTCACCAAGATCGGAGCCTCGAGCAAGTGTTGCGCTCATCCAACAGGACTGAGCATCGTAATACTTCTCGTCGCGGCGGATCCTTGTCTCGAAGTCCTGTAAGACTGTTTGGATGCTCGTACGCATCTCCTTGGCATCGTCTTTGCTCATGTTGCCGTCCCAGGCAAGGCCGATGAGGTAGCAACCATGGTACTCCTCGCCTGGGCCTCCCGCTCCTCCAGAAGACGCATCTAAGAACCGAGATGGCCAAATTCGTGCGATCAAGTTCTGAAGCTTTCTATTTATGTCTTTCGTGATCGTTAGTACAATGAATGTTACGGAATTGAAGGAGACTCTTACCAACCAACAACATAACACAACGGGATTCGAGCCAACCGATGAACCGGCCACTTTTTTCCTGTGACGGCCCCCAATAGTGTGCATCAATCTTGATGTAAGTTTTGAACTCATTCAAAAACTCCGCAGTTCCTCTGGTTTTTCCTGCTTCCTGGGTGGACTGAAGACCTAGTACACTATTCCATTTACAGCCATCCTGAGAAAGTAATCTATCGGCACGCTCTATTTCAGCTGCAATAGTCACCACAGTTGGGTTGGATGCTATCGGAGCAGTGTTGAGCGCTGGGGCATGCCAGCCGATGAGACAGAGAGGCTCTCTAAATGTACGGTTGTACCTCAAATCTTTGTGAAAGAACGGGTCGAACACCATCGAGTTTTTCCAGTCGAAATCTGCATAGTGTCTGAAGAATGTGGTTACAATATCTGCTGGAGATATCATCTCACTCCCAAAAGCCAGCGATTTGCAGATTGGAACAAGAAGGACACTGATATGGATGCCACCAAGGAACCCGAATTTTGCAGAATAGATGCCTCGTGCCTGGGCCCAGGACTTGATGTACAAGTGTGCCATCCGGTATTGGACCATGTCTGGAAGTGATCGACGCAGGTAAAAGAGATCGCGAACAGGCTTAAGCTTCGCTAGGGTCTGGAAAGGTAAAGCAAATGCCGAGTCATTAGCTGGTCGTTTCATAACTTCAGGCCACCTAGAACATTTGATTAGCAATGCCACTTTATGGCGCGTACCAGCTGAGATATAAGTGATGCATACCTTTCGGCGATTGACGCTGCTGCGCAATATTGGAGATCTACTTTGATGCCATGTACTTCTAGTTCCAGCATGTACCCAGAGTTGGCTTTGACCCGTCGTAAGATCCTGATGTCTGCCGCTCGCTTCAGTCTCTGAACTGCCAAAGTAAAGAATGTCTTGGAACTAAATGGGCCGATACAGAGACAGTCAATATCAGACGAGCTGGTCCAGACGCCCAATCCATATGAACCAACTGGAACCACAACAAACGGGGGTCCAGATCTTGCATCATCCTCTGATGATGATAAGTCGATGTCCTTCAGAGCAACCTCCAGAGCTTTAACCGCTTGGACCCTTGTCTCTCTTTCCTGCTCCGTTGGCAGACAACCATAATTTTCCAAGAAGTGCTCTAAGCCCTCGCCTTCGACCAAACTTGGCACAGGTCGCTGAAGTTTGATCTTCATTTCTGGAACAGTTGCCTTGGACATCTCACTTGACGATGATTTCAACAGAAGGCATCTTATACCCCAGTGATCACTAGCGTATGTGGGATAGCCTCCTCGAGGTGACTGGAACGGCGTTTGTCCAAACATATTGAAACCATGCGGGTGATAGTGCCCTGTCTTGACGAGTATCTTGTCGTACCTCTGTGGCCGGTTGTTGAGTCCACTTCCAACAAGTTCGGCAGTCAGTGTGTTTGTCAGAGGATCAAAGGTAGCCCCTTGCTCTCCCTGGAAAGAATCAAGCACACTTCTTCTTTCATTATTCATGTCTGAAGACTCGCCTGATTCGAGTCGAGTGGCTAGCCAGGTGTCGAGAAAGCCAGCGTCCAGTAATGCCCGGTCAATGTCTTGCAGCCGATGAACTGTCTGCAATGATATGTCTTGTTTTTTTCGAGCAGCTTCGATAGTATGAGAAGAAGTCACAAGATTGAAATCGCCTGCAAGTACCCACGGGTGTTGTGGGAATGTAGCCGTTAGATAATCGAGCATCTTTTGGATCTCATTCTTCTTGGTAGCAATGGCCCCATCAGTAAGGCCTTGGCTGAGATGACATGCCACAATTATCCAGGGCCTGAACTCCCCGTCTGGGGTATCTCTTGTACCAATGGTAGGGAATCGCACGACAGTACATCCTTTGTGTTTTCTTTGAAATGGTAGATGATGCCACTCGAACGGAAACTTACTCAGTACAACGATATTTAAAAGGCTAGGAAGTGGCTCGGAACCTGTGGTTTCTGGAGGCCCATGCGAGACGTAGGGATAACGACCACGCAGTTCCTCGCTACCAAGGAGATCAGGGAGGAAGTGATCTGTAACCTCCTGAAGTACAACAATATCGGCGGCAGCTTGAGCGGAGAGAAGGTTCTGCACCAAAGGTACATGTCGATGTGATTGAGGGGGCCATTCAAACTCGGCCAAAACATTGTAAGAAGCAACAACTAATCGATCCAGCAAAAGCTCAGTGGCATCCGGTGTATGGGCAGGAAAGTCATCCTTTTCCGGAGGTTTTAAAAGCTCTGAAAAATAGTGTGCTGGTTGGAAGGCGATGCGTGATATCTCTTTCAAGCGATCAGTGAAGTCTTGAGGTTGTGTTGTCTGAGTGAGCGTGCCTGATTCAAGATTCAGGGTCCCCCAGAGCTTCATAGGCCGAGGGCCGCTGCCACTGCCGCTTTGCGCGAGAGGTTCGCGAACAAGAATAGCAACTTCCTTAACTTTCCATGTTATAGGCGCCAAGAGGCGAGCCTTTTCCAGAAGAAAATAATGCGGTGCAGCTTCTGCATCTTCACTCTGACCAATTGTCATATGAGGGGTGAAGTTTTCGTCCGTTGAATCCTGAGGATGGCCAAGGGTGTTTGAAATGTAGTTCTTGAGCTTTGAAAGCTGATTCACATTGTCCTTGGAGCTTTGGCCCAAGTATATAGTGTTGTTGTGCTTGTGTTTGAAGAAGTCGGCCGTATCGAGGGCCAGTTGAGGCTGGTATTCTATCGCATTTCCTTGAAGAACGTGGGCTGCATTCTCTAAGCGCTCAGGCCGCACAAATGGGTATATAATGTTAACATGAGGCGGCCAGGCAGTATAAGCCTTGTCGTAGAGACATCTCAGTCGATCTACCGATGACCATAGTTCTCGGGGAGGGATAGCGCATAACGCAGTATCATGAGACTCGAAATTGAAAACGGGCGTAGGTTCAATATTCTCCATTTTTAAGCAAGTAATTGTCGTTAATCGGTAGAAATGGGTATGGTTTAATAAAAACAAGCACAGTTTGAAAACGCGCAAAACGGTCCGCAGAAAATAAGCAACAACTTTCTATATGTTGAGGGATACCGTTGCTGATGAGCTGATAACTTATTGAGGTTTGGAACTCAAGTCTTTTATGGTTTATTCCCCTGCAAAGCTGAAACTTGATGTTACAGTTTATTGTCATATGTTGACTCATAAATGCACCCATATTATTGGTATAATTGTATCCAGCAAGGCTATGCTCAAGATTGCTAGCTGTTTTTGTTGAATAATTCTACGGTATGACTCAAGGAATACTATAGCATGCCCATCTATACGAGTAGATCCATACTTGCCTCTTGCACGGCCCCTTCATAGTCCAGGGTAGTTTTCTGACCCCTCCATGGGCTTAGCACAGGCTATCTATCAACGGGACAACCCCACTTTAAATTTAGCCAATTACCTACTGCTCAGTTCCCTTGTGAACACATAGCTTCATACCTTGGCCTTGGGTAGCTACCGTCGCTCTTGAGACCAATCCATAACATTTCGACATCCCTTCAACCATCGACTTTCTGCACCCGATAACCAGCCAGGCGCTCTTCGAAACAACATAATCGTGCACCTGCTTACTGGCGCATATCATCCGCCATCGCCGCCATCATGGATTACGAAGCGATAAAGGAGCAATGGAGTGAGGTCGAGGATCGCGATGGCGTCCGTTTGAGTTGGAACGTCTTTCCCAGCTCCCGCATGGTGCGTAGGCTGCTCAATGATTTCTTTCCCTAAACTCACATTGTTCAGGAAGCTTCAAGACTCGTTGTACCCATTGGAGCACTCTACACACCCTTGAAGGAGAAGCCCGATACTCCTTTGTTGCACTTCGAGCCCGTCACCTGTAAACAACCTTGTCGTTCAGTGTTGAACCCATTCTGGTATGGCCCGATCTGGGTTGCCTGGTAGCTTACTTCCTTTTTTGCTAACTTGACTCTCAAGCCAAGTCGATGTCCGCGCAAGAGTCTGGATCTGCCCTTTCTGTCTGTCCAGGAACCAACTGCCACCTCACTACAAAGACATCACTGCCAACGCGATCCCCCCCGAGCTTCACCCATCCAACACTACGATAGAGTACCGCTTGTCCCGACCGGCCCCTGCGCCACCAATCTTTCTATATGTCGTGGATATGTGTCAGGAGGCAGACAGCCTTGCCTCCTTGAAGGAGTCGCTCGTCATGAGTCTGAGCTTGCTCCCGGAGAACGCTCTTGTTGGTCTTATCACGTATGGCACAATGGTACGCTCACTTGCATCACTTTGCGCATGCTTGCTTTGCTAATAATTCAACAGGCACATGTCCACGAAATCGGCTACGAGGAATGCGCCAAGTCCTATGTTTTCCGAGGTAGCAAGGAGTACGCTGCGAAGCAAGTCCAAGAGATGCTCGGCTTGTCGTCATCTGGTGTGCGGCCCGGCATGCAACCCCAGCCTGGTCGACCATTCCCCGCTGGCCCAGCATCTCGCTTCCTTCTGCCTGTCCAACAGGCCGAATTCCAGTTGACCAAGGCCCTTGAGTCTCTCCAGAAAGACCCCTGGCCTGTTGCCAACGACAGACGTAACCTTCGCTGCACTGGCGTTGCGCTCAGTGTCGCTGTTGGCCTTCTTGAATCGTCTTTCCAGAATGCCGGTGGTCGCATCATGCTATTTGCTGGTGGCCCTGCCACAGAAGGACCTGGAATGGTTGTTGGACCTGAGCTGAGGGAGCCTATTCGATCTCATCATGACATTGACCGAGACAATGTCAAGTACTACAAGAAAGCCCTGAAGGTATATCTGCGTATTGGGATCGCTCTCTTGATACAGCACTAACGCGGGACACAGTTTTACGAGAACCTTGCTAAGCGCACTGCACACAACGGTCACATCATCGACATCTTCGCCGGCTGTCTAGACCAAGTTGGTTTACTCGAAATGAAAGGGCTGTGCAACTCGACTGGTGGTCACATGATTCTCACCGATAGCTTCACATCCTCCATGTTCAAGCAGTCGTTTGTGCGAATCTTTGAAAAGGATGGAGACGACAACCTACTCATGGGCTTCAACGCCGTGTTAGAGGTTTTGACCACAAAGGAACTCAAGGTTACAGGCCTTATCGGCCATGCAGTCTCCCTTAACAAGAAGTCCATTTCTGTTGGCGAATCCGAATGTGGTATCGGTAACACATGCTCCTGGAAGATGTGCGGTATCGATCCCAAGTCGAGCTACGGAATCTACTTCGAAATTGCTGGTCAGGGTCCAGCCACCCATCAGCAAGCACCCCAGAAGGGTATGATGCAGTTCCTCACATACTATCAACACTCTTCCGGCCAATTCCATCTCCGTGTTACAACGGTTGCCAGGAACCTGAGCAGCCCTGCCGGGGACCCAGCAATTGCGCAATCATTCGACCAAGAGGCTGCAGCTGTCCTCATGTCGCGCATTGCTGTTTTCAAGGCTGAGGTCGATGATGGGCCTGATGTCTTGCGATGGGTTGACAGGATGTTGATTCGGCTGTGTTCTCGTTTCGCGGATTACCGAAAGGATGACCCCTCGTCCTTCCGGTTGGAAAAGAACTTCACTCTATACCCGCAGTTTATGTTCCACCTCCGACGAAGTCAATTCCTCCAAGTGTTCAACAATTCTCCTGATGAGACAGCATTTTACCGACATGTGCTCAACCATGAGGATGTTAGCAACTCACTTGTCATGATCCAGCCCACTCTGGATTCCTATACATTTGACCAGGAAGGTGGCCAGCCTGTTTTGCTCGACTCTGCTTCGATCCAGCCCACACATATTCTTCTTCTCGATACTTTCTTCCACATCTTGATTTTCCACGGCGAGACAGTCGCTGAATGGAGAAAGGCCGGATACCAAGATCAAGAAGGATATGAGAACTTTGCTGGTCTGCTTGAGCAGCCCAAGGAAGACGCTCGCGTAAGTTCAATTCCTTCCCCCTTTTTTTGGTCGGTGCTTAAACTCACAACTTTTAGGATCTCATCACTGATCGATTCCCTCTCCCTCGATTCATCGTCTGTGATGCGGGTGGCTCTCAAGCTCGATTCCTGCTGTCCAAGCTCAACCCATCTACCACACACACGACTGGCCCGTACGGTGGCGTAGGAGCCACGACTGCTCAGACAATCTTCACAGACGACGTGTCCCTCCAGACCTTCATGGACCATTTGATGAAGTAAGTTTTTCTTGAACATCCAGCCACGAATTCAATTACATGTTACTAACCATTTACCTAGGCTTGCTGTGAGTGGTGCCAATTAAAGTGGCCCCTGAATAGCTTCGTGATAGTCATGGAGGGATCTGTAAATGTCGCGAAAATATTTAACCTTTGTAAGAATTAGTGCAGATGATGATCAGCCGCAATGAGGCCGTAATCCCGATGGAAAGAGAAATAGATTAGTATTTTATATTATGAGCTCTATAATTGATACCTTGGAGGTCTTACAGAGGAGTATCTGTCCCTTGTCCAGAAAGTGATGACTAAGATGCACGTGACCCCACTCGCTTCCAAATCGTTAGGGCAGATCTGGTGGGGCACACATTTTAGTGATTCCGACGATTGCAACTTTTCTCTTTTTTTCGAGCAACCTTCATTCGCCTTACATTCGGCACGCAAACCACGAGCCTCTGCCAACTTCAACGACAACTACAGCCAAAATGCGTACGTTTCCCTTGTCGAGCGCTTTTTTGACGGGCTCTGCTAACGCGAGGAACAGCTCCCAAGCTCGACCCCAATGAGATTAAGGTGATGTAGGTTAATTCTGTGAAAGGAAATTTTGGTCGACTCGCAACTGACATATTGTAGCCACCTCCGCGCCACTGGTGGTGAGGTTGGTGCCTCCTCTGCTCTTGCTCCCAAGATCGGTCCTCTGGGTCTTTCTCCCAAGAAGGTCGGAGAAGACATTGCCAAGGCTACTGGTGACTGGGTATGGTTTCCAACATCTTGTGAAGTGACAGGAAGATGCTTACAATTCTATAGAAAGGCTTGCGCGTAACTGTCAAGCTCACCATCCAGAACCGTCAGGCTGCTGTTTCCGTCGTTCCCACTGCTTCTTCCCTCATCATCAAGGCCCTCAAGGAACCCCCCAGGGACCGAAAGAAGGAGAAGAACATCAAGCACAACAAGTCTGTCGCCCTCGACGAGATCATTGAGATCGCCCGCACCATGCGATACAAGTCTTTCGCCAAGGACCTCTCTGGTACCGTCAGGGAGATTCTCGGTACCGCCTACAGTGTTGGCTGCCAGGTCGATGGCAAGCCTCCCCAGGCTATCATCGAAGCTATCCAAAGCGGCGATATCGACAGTAAGTTTGAGAAACGCTTGTTCTGTAAGTCTAAAAACTAACATATTGTGTAGTCCCCGAGGAGTAAATTCGGTCTCTTACGAAACCAAATACCACAAAACAAGAACAATAGATCCATTGTCTGATGGTTACCTCATGAACTCGTTTCTTGCATCGTTGTGAAAGTGATACTCTGTAAATGCGTGACAGATCCTTGACTCACTCTGAAATCTACCATCATACTCTGTGGTTTATTTCTATTTTTGCTCGAGGAAGAGGAATGGAAGCCCAATACTCACCGCGACATACTAGCTATCAAGCTCTTGTGGATGTAGCGGTCCATCATCATGGCCACATATCTTTTCAAAGTCTAACGACTTTCTTTCTATCCATCGTTGTCAATGCTCAATTTTGTGTTTGCGGTATTGTTGTGTTGGCTGGTGTAAGGCTATATTGGTCGTCTATGCCAGCTCAACTCAACAATGATGAAAGTAGTGTTAGAAATTAACAAGTCAATAAATCTTACTATCAAATTCGCTTGCACCTTGCATTTGTTCGTATGAATATATCATGGCTCTGGCATGCATCTCTTTTCAAATCGTCAGAAAGTCTCCCTCAATACTCATTACTCAATATATAACCGGTATGTATGTATTATAGATAGCTGGACTAAGAGAACACTATATATATCTGGTGGCACTCTATCAACTTTGAGAGAAAAAAGAGCACTGACCTCAGTAGTGTTACCCCGGAAGTGCAACAGCATGGTAAAACAATAACTCGCAGTCATTCAAGAGAAAAAGTGTTGCATATGCCATTACAGATATAAATCACCAAGATATCTTCGATAGAACATTAAATATATATGCCTCGTAGAATAGATGTAATGCGAAGTAATGTCGGATTAGAGACCTTGCATAGCAAGATACACATGTGACAGCTGCTGGGCAAGTGAGCACTGACTTGGATTCAAGATCCATGTTTTATTGGCTCTAAACTCATCACTTTTTAAGCTGCTGGCCGTTCCCCAGTGTAATTTCTCTTCCATTTCCCTAGACCGGGGTACATTATGTCCCCATGATTGGATTGTTAATGTCTAATGACTTTGGCATCCATGCTGTGACAATTCAGATGTCGTTAATTGTTTTTGTGCATATTTTGTAGTTACTAGAGACAGGTGTAATAATCTATTCGATAAATCGTTTATGTCTAATATTAGTGCCAGGATTCGCATCCCATGAAACATGGAGGAGTCAGATGGACTTTTTGGCTTCCATAACTTATCGTCGGTTAGGATTGCCGTGGGTCGTTGGCGAAAGGTGGGCGGTACAAAGCAAGGGCTGTGTGGCAGAAGCCTGCTAGGCCAAGACTGTTGGTTGGTTATGGTGGTACCCCTCTTCAAGCTCAGCTCTGGGTCTCCGTTTCTCCCGCTTCAAAGTGGACCTAGACCTGGCCGTCAGTCAAATCGTGGTTTACTTTACTTTACCTTATTCAATCTGGCGCTACCTGTCGGGCAAACGAACGTGCCGATATTATACAATAGCTCGTTTGCTTATCTATTGTAAACATCGTACTTCGAACTTTCATTCTCAGGCGCATAATCCACACTTGCTTGTTTGATTGAGCTTTGACACTTTGGGCCTATTGACAAGCTCTCATGCCCTGTCACTACGACTCGAAACTCATCATTGCGGCCATGAACGCGACTGTTCTTTACTGTGCGACCTGATCTCGGTTTCATTTGCGATAGACTTAATAGGCCCTCCCCCGAGCAACGGGCGCGACCTACCAGAGCTTTGAAAAGACGAAACAGGGCTTCCTCACGGAATCTCGAAATTACCAGTCTTGCGCTGGCGCAACCCTCTCGCCCTTCTAACTTGCTCAGATGCTTGTCAGCAATCAACTCAATACTTTGATACCCAGCGTAGCCGCCAGCCATGCCCTTTGACCAACAGGCCATGCTCAGCCGCCATTTACCAGTGTCCTTCTTCCTGCTTTTCCAGTCAGTTTTGTTTCTTCGCCAATATACCCCGTTGTCATGTTGCCTCTCCTCAAAGTCCCCCCTCCTGCGATGACGCTGCCGCAGTCGAATTTCGATGCTACCATATTTCCGAATAACGACGCCTCCTCATTCAGTGACCACCATCTATATAATGTCGCATCGCCATATCAGCAATCATTTGCGATTCGCACCTCCCGACCTCAGCGAGTCAACAACTCATTTGGCTCTGGTTTCTACTCGCAACGCCAAGAATATCACCTCAGGCGAAAGACTCCGAACGGAACCATCGATGCCGGTTACGATGGATCACCATCGCCCTTCTCGCATGGCCCTCCACCTCCAAAACATCTATTTCAGCCTCGCTCGGCAACTGCTACAGCGTTCCCTTTAACCAGCCCGTCGATTCACCACCCTCGCTTCACCACTGAGATCGACCCTCACCATTCACCTTCAGCCGGCAACAAGGTGTTTGAAGATAACCTGCAAGCCCGTTCCAGGTCTTCCACCTGGGCTTATGCGGGCGATGCCGCACCGCACCATGGCGCCTTTCCTGGCAACTATTATGCCTTCCATCAAACTGAACCGCAATTCAGTCCATATGGCCAGCCCGAAACGCCTGGATTCCCAAATCTTTACCAGCCAGTGATAAGAGCTCACGAGTACAACGTCAGGGCATTCTGTCCGCCTCCAGTTGTCATGAACGAATCGTTGCCTTTCGGTCAACCGGCCACCCACATGCCCTGGAATTTTCACGCCCAGTCTGGTGTTATCCCCAGGCATGTTCAACAGCAAGCTCTTCGCCCTTTCCAGCATCAAGCTGTTCCCGGGATTGCACGCCCATCCTCTTTTTCTCATGCAATTGAAGCAGAACCCCAGGGCCACGCCGGCAATAACCTGGGTATGCCCATTCAATTATATACCGGAACTACTCATTTGAGCAGCTCCCAAGGGTTCAGAGAGAAAGTGATATTGCAGGCTCACAAGGTTTACATTGATCTTCTGGCATGCACACAAGCCATCCGAAAACCGAATCCGACCAGAAATGCATCAGGGCATAATACATCACCAAGGCTTCTCGTATACCCCAAGCCCCCGAAGCCGTCCTTGAGGGTCTCAGAGGCAGTTTTTGGGCACGAGGTTGCACATTTCAGGCCGTCCCAAGAAAATGAACACTATCAAGGATACAGCAGCAGGAGGCATTCGGTACATAACTTCTATGGGTCTTCAAGCAATTACTTGCCCATGGGAAATACGACTCCATTCACGGCAGCCAAGTCTACGTTGGAAGTGCTCAGTAACCTCTGCGAGCAGAGCAGCTGGGGTTGGATTGATGGAATGATGTTGGGGGGATGTCTCTACTATGGTCTGGAACAATATCAAGAGGCACTTGAATGGTTCTCGAGAATCCTTGCCCTTGACTCGAGGTAAACCTCTTCTCCCCATGTGAACTGTCAAGTGGCTGTTCATTAATCTAACTCTTTCGCAGCGATGTCGAGGCAATCACGAACAAAGCCGCCACTCTTTATTGCCTCAACCGTCAAGATGAGGCCGAAAAACACTGGATTCGAGCTGTCGAGGTGCAACCCAGTTATCTAGAAGCCGTTGAGCATCTAGTTGGTCTGCTATATAAGAAGCGAAGTAAGGAAGCTGTTGATATTATCGAACATATCCAGCGCGCCCTAAGAATATCTTCAGTATGTAGTTCGCAACAAAAAGACACTACCGAGCAGCCAAAAAAAAATATCCCCATACAGGCTGTTGCGGTTTGCGGTTACCATATAGCTAATACAACACAGGTGCAAGATCAGCGACATGGGACTCAGGGGCTTCAGGGCCAATTAGCGAAGACTCCTGGCTTTGCATCAAGTGGTTACGCACTGCCCGCAAAAGAGAATGGACGCATACTGGCTCTGATACATGCAAAGGGGACCATGCTATACAGTCTTAAAGAAATCAACAGGGCATCAGAAGCATTCGAGGAGGCCGTGCTGATCAGTGTTGGTCGCCGAATGACTAGCATACAGGATCTTGTCCGTCAGATCCAAACAGCGTTGTCACCAAAAGAGGGTTTAGTATCGAATGGGCAAGTCGGTTACAGTACACGGCCTTTGTTACTTCCTCCTGAGCGTGCTCGTCACACTGCACAGCTGGTTTTTGGTGGCAATGGAGCTCTGCCAGGACTGCAGCATGTGCCTGAAGGCTCAACTAAGCGAGCGGCTGTACAGACAACAAGCAACTCACTACTATCGCTGGCAAAGATATTTCAGGATTCCTTATCGACTGGGCAAGGGGTACCGAACATCCTGCGGCGCCCTTCGGGGGTTGAAGATATCCTAGCTCTCTACTATCTGTCTTTGTCCCTCCAGGAAAGTCCTTCTACGGCCAACAATGTCGGCATTCTCCTTGCTGGCGTGCAACAGGCCACATCCAACCCACCAAGACCAAATGTGGATGCCCCCTCTCATCCAGGTATTCCCGGAATTGTGCCAGGAAGTGGTCTGGCGTTGGCTTTGGCCTATTATCACTACGGCTTGCGTTTGGATCCCAAGCACGTACATTTACACACAAATCTGGGAAGCTTACTCAAAGACATTGGTCAATTGGATCTCGCTATCCAAATGTACGAACAGGCGGTATCATGCGACGGGACCTTCGACATTGCCCTGACTAACCTCGCCAACGCTGTAAAGGACAGGGGACGCATTAACGATGCAATCTCGTATTATAAACGGGCAGTCAACTCAAATCCCGACTTCGCCGAGGCTGTTTGCGGTCTCTCTACCGCTCTCAATTCGGTTTGTGACTGGAGAGGCCGAGGTGGGGTCATACTCAAAACTGGGAGATACGATCGATGGCATGTTGATGGCGATGGTCAGCTTATCGATGCTCGAGCTACTGGGCATGAGGATGGCCTCGTAAGCCGTGTTGTCCGCACCATCAATCGTCAGTTGAGCGAGGCATCACATTGGGGGCGTGGTATCCTCGACGATAACCGTATCGCTACTTTGGCGCAACAGATCCAAGATCTTGGCCTGGGCGAACCACACGAGGTTCAGCAAGGTCTGAGAAATTGGAGGAACAAGCGATGGGAGGGTGCACGCGTCGTTCGCTTGGTAGAGCGCGCGACTCGTGCAACTCAATGGAAGTGGTATCGAGATCGTTACATATCGCCTAACCAAGCACCCGCTCGGTACACTCGCATCCGTTTGCCCAACGGCCTTGCAGTACCTTCAGCGCCTACAGTCCTGCCCTTTCATACATTCACATGCCCCCTATCTGCGAAAAACATACGACTCATTTCTCAGCGCAATGGAATCCGAATATCCTGCTCAACATTGCGATTGCCATGGTTACCTTCGACGGTCTACCGTCCGCCTCCTCCCCCGAACCCTCATTTGAACATAGGATATGTGTCATCAGACTTTAACAACCACCCTCTGGCTCACCTGTAAGGTTCCCCAATATTTTACATGTGTATTTTGAGATGCTAATCGCGTTTGATGAACATTTTTAGAATGCAATCAGTATTTGGATTCCATGACCCTCAGCGTGTGCGCGCATTTTGCTACGCTACGACGGCGAGCGATCGGTCTATCCATCGACAGCAGATCGAACGTGAGGCTCCTGTCTTTCGCGACGCCAGCAGTTGGCCTGCAGACAGACTAGTCGGACAAATTATTAGCGATGAGATTCACGTCCTTGTAAACCTCAACGGCTATACACGAGGAGCTCGCAACGAGGTCTTTGCCGCACGACCTGCACCAGTTCAAATGTCTTTCATGGGCTTTGCGGGTACACTAGGTGCTGAGTGGTGCGACTACATACTAGCAGATAGCACAGCCATTCCTCCCGAGACGCTACGACCGTGGCGTGGGAACTCCAAGGTCACCGATGTGTTTCAGGATGAGACGGAGGGTGAAGGAGAGGATTGGATGTACTCGGAGAACATCATATTCTGCCGAGATACGTTCTTCTGTTGCGACCATGCCCAATCTTGTGACCAGAGTGAACGGTTGATCACTTGGGAACAAGAGCAGCAACGTCGCTGGAAGATGCGAAAGGAAATCTTCCCTGCCCTAGCCAATGACACTATAATCATGGGCAACTTCAATCAGTTGTACAAGGTAGGTTGCTAATAGCCCAACGTGTTCCTTTAACCTGTTGCTAACTCGTTAAGATCGAACCTACTACATTCAGAACATGGTTACGAATTCTGGCGCAGGTTCCGAAGGCGGTGATATGGCTTCTTCGCTTCCCCGAGTTAGGAGAAACCAACCTACGGCGGACAGCAAAGGAATGGGCCGGGGAGGAAGTCGCCAGCCGCTTAGTGTTTACTGACGTTGCGCCAAAAAGTCAGCACATTTCAAGGGCTCGAGTATGCGATTTGTTTCTCGACACCCCAGAGTGCAATGCTCATACAACGGCGGCAGATGTTCTTTGGTCAAGCACGCCTTTACTTACACTTCCTCGTTATCCTTACAAGATGTGCTCTCGAATGGCGGCGTCAATCCTCAAGGGTGCCCTGCCAAAATCGGACGAAGGCCGACAGGCTGCAGCCGAACTGATTGCCGGGGGCGAAGAAGAATATGAGCAGCGTGCAGTCAAACTTGCCAGCCAGCTTACTTACACAATGTCAGCGAGTGGCTATGGTCAGGGAGAAGGTCGTCTGGCCGAGATACGCAAGTTGTTGTGGGAAAGCAAGTGGCATTGCGGGCTATTCAATACAAGAAGATGGGTTGATGATGTTGAGACGGCGTATGAGGAAGCATGGCGACGATGGGTCGCTGGCGAAGGTGGCGATATTCATCTATGAACAAGGGCGATGAACGAGCTAATTTTACTTGATAACGGGCATGGGAAGTGTGGTTGTCAGATCAGGAAACCTGGCGAGCAGCCGGTCGGGCGTTTTAAACAAGAAAGGAGATGCATGGGTAAGCTACGGCATGACACGACGGGTCTGACTAGGAATGGCGTTTGGAGCATGTTTTCATATTTAAGATTTGAAGATGCGGTTGGGCATTGTGGCTCGCGGCAAACTGAGGGATCGGTTCTGTGTATCTGAGAGTCCCAGTTCATCGACACCCGTTGCGCTGCCCGGTTATGAAAGCGAACGGCCACCAAGGTTATTGCCGACTAATCCACTTTATTTGGGACGACCCAGAAGTCTGGGTGGACAAAAGCATAACTACCCTGCCGCTTGCAACTGATCATGTCTGCATATGTTGACGTTCTTGTGTCGACTGCAGCTCTGTGTACCCACCCATACTACCAAACCACTAACTAAAACAGCCAAGTAAGACGTAAGTGTTTGTAGTCACGCTCGTAGGTAAAGAGCGTCGGTGGTTTCAACGAAAGGTCAAGCAAACCGTCTTGGTGGTGAAGTTTCAGGTAAGTACCAAAGGTATAGGGTGAGTGGCCTCTCGATACGACACATTCGGTAGTGAGGTTACAGAAACAGCTGGGTCAGAGAAGAGGAGAAGCTGTAAAAGGAAAATGATGTGACCACATCCGAGCTGAATCAGGGTACCTAGCGAGGAAACTGTGCAACACGACAGGGGAAGAAGACATGCTATTGGACAAGCGAAATGACAACTGAGAAGCCAGCTGAGCTGAGCTGAAAGCCGTTGTCCGTCTCTCTTGGCGTAATCCCAAAAGGGCTTGGTATTCAAAGGGACGCCGACGCCACAACGTTTTTTCCCTCCCATGTTTGCTGTTTAGCGGCCGAGGTTCACCTGGAGTAGGTAGAGTACCAGGTAGAATTAGGGGCTCCATCAACGTCTGAGCGGGGAGGGACTATTGCCAATATCGTCATCTGCCCTGCCCACCAGTAATCTATCCCCTGATTCGAGTAGGATGAAGTAGCAGTTTCTAGAGTATGAGGGTCAGGAGGTGTGAAAGGCACATGGAGCCCTACGACAGTAACTCTCTGAAATAATCAATACTCAAGCGGAACTACTCTGGTAATTGTGGGAATAGAGACCATCTGGAAACACAGCACAAGTGGCCCTCCCCTATTCACAGCAGTCAACCCAAATCCACGACCAGGGGAGCGAGTCAGATGTCGTCACTCAACGCCGACGAAAGGATTCAGTTGGTTGAGATATGGAGTTGGTGGTCCTCCCTTATGCCTGAGCGTTCTGCGCTGTGATCCCGAATGCGTGGGCTGATCCGAGCTCAACGGACGCCAATTGTCCATCTTGCCTTGTCGACTTGCAGGGCTTACCTAGTTCGAGCTTAGCCGCGCCCGTTTTTGTTTTGTTTCGTTTCGTTCGGTCGTAGTGGTTCCCTACTAAACCATGACCCTTGCCTTGCTCCTCTAATCCTGGCCATGGCCATGTTGTTATTCTCCGCATCTTAAGAGACTTGACGGGGCGGGCTATAACGTTAGTACTTTAGGGGGACGAAAGGGTAAGAAGCGATAGGGTCTCAGGGTTCTCGCTGTTTAGATTTACAATTAGACGGAATACGACATTCGCCCTCAGATCGTCTAGATGGGGATGGCAGCAATCTTATTTTGCCATGACAGTGCAACGGTGGGTGATCAGACGAGTCAGGTATTGGAAGGTCACCGTTGCCAGGGATTAGGACAAGTAGGGATACCCTTAGATATATTCATGCTTGGGAGCAAGTAGCTCATGTGCTGCTGTCCTGTTCTCAATCAAACCAAGGTGAGGGTCAAGCAAACCATTCGTCGATGTACTTACCTGCTACCGATTTGCATATAAATGAATGCATCTGCCTCAACTTGGACAGAAAAGCACGGGCGCACCGTCATCCTCATCGCGAACTCCCTGAGCCAAGCCGAACAGCGTCGGGAGTACTCTGTCAAGAGGCCCGACGTGGTAGTATACAATGGCAGAAGCGTTGCAGTGAACTCCACCGATCAGCCGGGACGTCCAAGTTGCCGCAACCCAAGTTGAACGTATTGATTGTACGGCAGCCCATGCTTGTTGGAGAAGAGCAGTGAGTGCCGTAGCGTAGCGTTCTTGAAGCCCGAAGATCCCAAGCAGGTGGCTCAAGACAGCAGCCACCCGTTGTCGATGATCGCCCTACCTTTGACCCTTGCCCTGACCGTTCCATTCTCTCCGCTAGAGTGTCTATGCGCAGACCGAAAAGGTCCACAGCACACGCGCTGGCAGCGATGGCGACGGTGAGGCCTGGAACCATGGTAGCGTGGGTCATTGGCATTGAAACGAAACGAAACGACTCAGTTTGATCAGCTAACTAACAGTCACTTTAATTGTCATGTGCTCCGTGCAATCCATATACTCAGAACTATTCATGATACTACTCACCAATTATAGCTCCATACAAACTGAAGATCGGAGAGCGTCTGTTTGTTTGCTTGCTGGTGGTGGCTGGAAACAGGTCCAATGTCATGTCGAGTCTTGCACGCCAAGTCTGTATAAAGCGCTACAAGCACAGCTGTAGCGACAAAAGTTCTTGTCGGCTCTATCCAGCCTGAAGATCGTAGAAGAGATTTGTGATGTATCGTGTGAATAGGCGCTTGAGTACGTCCACCCACGTAAAGCAGTGGCGCGAATGTAGGCAGGAAAGCTGACATACATAGAGGTATGGAGAAAGAAATGGGTCTTGCCATTGTTTCCGGGCCATTACAAAGTGAAGAGACCGAGGGTTTGATAGTGGTCATGATAAATGCTGGTCGAGCAAGTTCCATAAAGGCAGAAGGAGGCAGAGCAAACCTACAAGGTCAAGAACCAGCAGATGGACCCCGCAACCATTGAAGTTTGGTGGACAAGATACTTTCCTAATGCGACAGATGGTTCTAGGCATCAGGAAAGCAGAGGCTGGAATTGGAAGACTGCTTTCAGTGGCTTGGCTTGACTTGACGGTAAGGTCCGAGAGAGTTGGGCCGATGACTGACAGCATTGCTATGGTTATGTGAACTATCACTTTGACAATGAAGTCGGTTGACCAGTTAATACCGGCTACGCTATACCCGTCGACCTGCTCCCTCCATCAATAGGAGAAGAGGGCTTGCTTGCTACCGGTTGCGTTGGACGATGAGGAGAGAACAGCAATTTTGAAGTTTAACGTACCTGTCAGCCATACATGATACGCTCAACAGGATGCAATTACGTTGGCAACGCATTGTCACTCACCTACCCAGATATTGAGTTTGATTCTATGACTGGTTGTTGGGTGTATGGAATAGCCTCCCTTTCAAAGTTAAGTTGTTGTTATGCCGACTGACGGGCATGTGAGTCGATATTGCCGGTTAAAGACCGTTCACGCGCACATGATGCCTGTGCGAGTTTGTATGGAAACATAGTACTTAGGAATATCTGTAGAAATTCAGAGGGTAACTCTGGGCTTTGTTGGCATTCCGCGCAATGTGTTGCGACGCGATGGACCCGTAAAGATGCAAGGTTTTGTTGGATATTGATAGCGGCAGGGTCTATAATCGAATTGAGTCCAGTCGAGCCCAGTCGAGTCGAGCCTAGGTCAAGAAAGGGACGAGGTCAACCGGTTACTACTAGACGGGTACGGTTCGAGACGGGTATCCGCACAGAACAGCGAGGTAGGAGGGTATTCATCGCATCCGGTCAACGTTGAACCAACCAACTACGACAGTAATAGATAGCCACAGCGACATGGATATTAACAGCAACAGTAATAACATCGCTACTGTGGGAATGACAGCCAACAACAACAATAACATGTACTCTACCAGTCAATCACTCATTCACTCATTACCTTCCATATCGCTTTGACGGCAGCGGGTCAAGACACTTAGCCAATCCCGTCACGATATGAGACCTTTTCGTTGAGTGATGGTAGGGTTCACCCCTCCACTGAAGGTTAAAGCATCCACTGGCTCCAGATATGGGTACGTAGTGACCGGGTTCGGGCAGTTCAGTTGGATGTTTCTAATCTTTACACCCTGTGGAGATGTGCCGCGCCCCAAAACATTGACACACCCTCCACAACACACACCACATCACACCTCGATTGATTTGACATAACCCAGATTCACGCCCCCCCTGGTAAAGAGCGCCACTATGTAGCGTGCCTAGTGCAAACCAGTTCAGGTTCAGTTCATTTCAGGTCGCTTCAGTGCAATGCAATGCAGTAAACTCGACAGCGGCACCCGTAAAGAAGAGGCATCCTGGTGGCAGATCAAGAAACTTTGTTGACTGGGGTGTCAAAACCTCCAAAAAGCTACCAGAAGCCAGAAGCTCGGTCGGTCACTCCTTCTTTTTCCCCACCACACCCCCCCCTTCCTGTTCCTCTCTTTCTCTTCTCTTCTCTTCACCTCACACCCGGTGTCACGATTTTACTTTTCCCCATACATTGCACACGCTTCATACTTTCCTTCCGCCCCATCTAACTATTCTATACTATCCCAATTCATCCATCGATCCATCATCCTTCCTCTTCTCACGGATATTTTATCACCCTACCTCCCTCCTTCTGAATCAAGATCTCTTCCCCTGAGCCTCATCTCAACTCATCTCTACACAACTCAACTCTATCTATTCTATACTTTTGCACTCTGCACTCTGCACTTCCACCATCAACAAGCTTTAACTCTAATATTAATCAAAACACAAACCAACCAGCGTACACACATTTTAATATTTCATCCGCTCGTCCTATTTAAACCAGCCAACGTCTCCCAAACAGCCTCTACCAGCACCCCAGACTCTTCGTCTTCACTCACTCGCCCAGTCAACATGAATTCGAATACTCCCCCTCACAGACGAGGACCTTGGTCCCAGCAGGAAGATCACTGTCTGATGAACCTTGTCCATGAAATTGGCCCTCTCAACTGGGTTCGCATTGCTCAGAGCCTGGGTTCACGATCACCAAAGCAATGTCGCGAGCGTTACCACCAAAACTTAAAGCCAACTCTCAACCACGAGCCTATCACACCTGAGGAGGGCCGCCTGATTGAAGATCTTGTAAAACAACTTGGAAAGCGCTGGGCCGAGATTGCCCGCCGCCTCCATGGACGAAGTGACAATGCTGTCAAGAATTGGTGGAATGGAAGCCAAAACAGACGGATTCGATCAGATCGTCGCCGTGCCACCCACGGCCACGACGACTACTATTCTGCAAACCGACATGGACTATCTATCTCGACAACACCCGTTCACCATATCCCAGGAGCACAGTTATCGCCCATGCAAGGGCCTATGATGCGTCACACTGGTGGATCTTGGATTGAAGCTCCTCTTCCTTCACCCTGTTCCTCCGATGGTGCCGAATCCGAAACTGGATCTAACTACACCACATCACCAGCTCACCACTCCGTTCCTCTGTACAGGCCTGTTGAGTTGCCGCCACTCCGCGGTCACTACTCCAGCCATGGTGATCCCAGGCTCCCGCTCCCCAGTATCAACGCTGCCCCTCTCCCTTCATACGGGGACAGGCTACCTACAGAGCGAGGAGAGTACAAGCCGGCATATCCTTCACCATACGGTATCCCAGGACAAAAACAGTTGCCTACTGCACCGAGCTCGCCCGTACAGCAGCAGTCCCAGCCTCAGTGTCAAGCACAGCCTCGATCAGAACAGGACTCTCGCATGCGCCTGCATTCCCTCTTGGATTAATTGTTCAACCCCAACGCGCTCAACGACTTCGCCTTGTGCCGAGCTATGTATAGAGGAAACATTGGCGGGCATACAAGACATTTGATTTTGACAAAGGAAAGATACCAGGCGTTTTAAGGGACAGGTACGGAGTTAGGTGCGATCATGGCTGTCTATTTACATCACGTTCATGACAAAGCGAAATGTCACAGGACCCAGGGGCTTAGCCAAATGCTTTTAGTGCTTTTAACACAACCAATATATTTAATGAACTCAACTAAATCTTGACTCATGATTTCCTTTGCTATTCTTGTGACTGAGATATGTTGTCGAATAATCGATCTCTCCGTCTGCAAGGCTCATGGTACAAGGTACAACGAACGGACAGCGTTTTAGTATCGAATTTGCTGCCCGTTCGGATACGACCGTGCAGTGAACGCATTGTCCAGAAGCCTTGACAAACGCACAATCCAACAGAAATGCCTGACAGGCGGAAGTGACACTGGAATGTGGCAACGCATGGACACGAATTTACAAGGCAGACGATAGCAGAGTTTGTACTGAAACATGCGAAATAGAGTTAGGTTGGCAATCATTGTCCAACAAGAGCCCCAGCAACATGACTGGGCGACAGAAACAGAAGATTGTTATCATATCCGATCTGAAATCTGTATCAGTAGTCGGTCTCTCTCTTGGTAGCATGCATTGATTACAGTAGAGGGAGAGCGACTGCGCTAAGCCAATAGAGACGGCACAGGGGATCTACGGTGATCTATTCTGGGGGGGGGGACTTGGGGACCTGGGGAGGGGGGTTAAGTGACTGCATTGTCGTGAGTTCTTTTTACTCCCTACGAATACCAAGATCCAAATGCAAAATCTCGATTTGGCCCCCCCTGGTCCACTGTCAACAATGGCTGAACGCATCTTTTTGAAGCCTAGCCTGGGCCAAGCCAAGCTAAACTCGGCGCAACACGACGCAACGCAACGCAGCATGACACAACTCAGCTCAGCTCAATTCAGCTCCGGGCACATGAAGATGGGTGCTTTATTCCCCGCTGCATGTCCTGTCCTGTCTTCTGAGCCCGTCGTTGAAGCGTGTTTCTGTTTTAGCTGTTATAAGATGGGAGAGGAGGAGGAGGAACATCCATCCTATTAGCATAGGATAGCGCAATACCAACACCGTTTGGCTTGCGCCCGGGCTGCTCAGGCCCAATAGGGAACCCTTCCTTCGGGGAAGGCGCTTTGATTCTGTTTCTTATTCCTGAAATACTGGTATCGATCCGTCGATCCACTAGCCAGCATAGACTTAGCCTTGCTTGCACCTTGACCTGGTCAACCTGCCATGCATGGGCACGTAGCTACTTTACCTGATTCAAATCGTCAGGTCGACCAATGCTGATCGATGATTGATGGAGGCATCTGATTGCAGACCAGACTAGAGAACCGGCTCGACGGTGTCCCGAATCAAGGGACCATGCTCATGCTTTGGTCTAGGGAGCTTGCGAGAAGACTAGTCCAGAGTTGGCAACACAGCATGGCCCAACCGGGAAGTTTGACCAAGACAAGGTTGCATCGTGTGCCGTGGGTGTGATTGTTTTCTGTCAACGCGCAACGCTTTTTCCCTTTCCCTCTCTTTCTCGGCGCCCAAGGACACGGGTATCTGGAGCAGCATAGAAAAAAGATGGAGGGGCTATTGATCATGGGTATTGGTGGAGAGATCGGGGAGCCGCCAACAGCCCCGGGCCGTGTGCTGTAGTGAACAAAATACGTATTGATTTGACTTGTCTTGTCTGACCTGTTCCGTCTTTCTTCTCCCTTTCTCTAGTCTACGTGCCGTTATTCTTGTTTCTTTTTTTATTTTATTGCCGGCCGGCCCTTACGTAGTGATGCATAGAAAAGAGTCATGGTGATGGGACATAGGATCAGTCGTTATTCCCGCACCGTGGGCTAATAATGAAGCTTACCTCGCTATCTTACTGGTTCTTCGGACTTTTTCTCTTCTCCATCAGCCTAATGACCATTTTTGTTTCGACTCAGACATGGATTAGTTTGTTTTTTTGCTTCTTTTATGTAGGTGCGCCCCAACCCCCCCTTGTCGTCCCTCTCATCTTGCCTGCCTGACTCAAGTTCAAGGCAGGCCAAGACCTGGCCTGGTCAGGTCAGATCATGTCTAATCAGGTCAACAACAGACAACGAAACGACCTGGTAGACAGGGCCCAGGGGCAGATCCAGGTCCAGGTCCTGGTCCACGCGACAATAACAACCGTGAGTTGAGCCTTGTTCGCAATCTTAACCGCATGTTCATCCAGTCGCTCTCATCCGTCACCTGTCACGTCACATCCAGCCTAAATGGATGGGACTGCACATCACTTTGATTACCCACGTAGTCGGGTTGGGCTGGGATCGTGAGTCTCACTTGACACAAAATAGATGGGATTTTGTGGACTGACTGATGTCTGTGAAGACAAAAGAACGAATACAATCAATTGAATGGTTCACTAGACTAATATTGGGGGTACATCGCAATCTAACAAAAAGCCATTTTGGAGAGGGTTCTTCACCTTTACCGTTACTCTGGGGCCAGCTGATGTCAGGGTCGGCACTCGAATGTAGATGTCCACTTGGACGGGAGCCAATCTTGGTCTTGCTCATCGCCTTGGTGTCGATCCCGCACGCAGGCGAGCAGGAGGAGCAGGCAAGGGTTGTGGCAGCGGCCGACATGCAAGCTCCGTAGCAAATTTTCCGGGCTCTTGAACCAATCACTCGGAAGGGATTTGGACCCGACGATGCAGGAATCCATGTCTTTGTCATATATGCGCATCTCACAAAAGACGACTATAGGGGTTTGATGCGATTGCCATGGGGAAAGATCTCCCAATCTCAATCTCCCTCCGACTCCAGTATGACGTGCCTGAGGACAACAGTCCGAACGGCTTCGGAGGAGGAAGATCTTTATCAGCATTGAGCAGTCAGTAAGTATCCTGGGTGTTACATGACACAATTATCTGGTGTTGCAGTCATGCAGCCCCTCCGAATACTGGTTTGCCGCATCTTCACCTTGGGCTGTGTAATCATGGTGCGACCAATGTTTCTATTTTCTGATCTGATCCGAACTACTAACCAAGAGGTACTGGTTCCATGACCATGGTACAGTATGTGTGAAACCGTCCTCATCCATGGGTAACGCGGTTGTCTGTCAACCAACGTCGCTGCCGTACAGTAGCCCCAACGGCCATCAGGAGGGGCAAGACGAACCTAGGCACCTATGAAGGAGGTGGTGTTGTCGTTGTACCCAGCTGGCTGAGCTGCACCCTTGCTCGGGATATACCAACACCATTGATTGATTGGATATGAGAACAAGCTGACATATTCTATTAATTACCGCTACCTTTTCATGTACATTACATGCACGCAACGCACATGGACAAGGTCGTTATTGTTCAAATTACCAACCATGGATACTAACCTGTACGTGATTTACTTGGGTCAATAGTTCCAGCCTCACCATCGGAGTCGCCATTACCGACAATCAGAAGGAAAAGAAAAGAGAAGAAAAGAGAAGAAAAAAGACGAAACCCAACGCAGCCCCAGCCTCAGAGAAAAAAGCAACATACATCTATGCCACAGGGTTCTTCTTCTCTATTTGCATGCAACACATTTACCCAAGGAAGCAAATAAACTATGGGACCCTACTACCTACCGTCTCAGGGGACCCTGCCCCGACTATTCGGGTGGGTGTACAGCGAACCTGGACTAGGTAACAGTTTACGATGTTACGGTACAGGGTAGTAATGTCACCGATGAGGCGGGCTGCCCGTTTCCATACACACATAACCCAGCCAGCTGAGAGTTGGAGGCAGGGTTCTTGGCGGACCGCCGACGACATTCGGGGTGGCTCACATGAAACCAGGACGTTGCATTCTGTCGATGACGATTACGAAACGCATAAACAGCAGAAGACTCCAAACCCAAAATTCAGGTCAAGCTAGAACAGAAGGTGATGAAGAAGATCCATGGATTTACAAAAAGCAAAAAAAAATAATGAAAAAGAGATTCATACCACAACGTAGGTATGCACATACCTGCGATAACTCTAACTTAACATTGCCGGACGGACAGCAGAGCAAAATGTTACCTCACCTGCAGTATCTCTCGCAATCTAGGTAAAATACGAAACGACCCAACAACCTGTGAATGTGTAACGTGTAGCACACCTACCTACCTCATGTGGTGTATTGACTGGTATTAATTATGCTTCACTTGTCTTGTTAACCGCCGTTGCATCCCGACTGAAGCATGCGTCTACTTGGCTGGCTAGCCCCTGGTCCTCTCTTAAAAACTGCATGCCTCAGCAACATGGACTTTTTCAGAATACCTTCATCCTGGTTGAACCTAGATGGATTGCGATCTTCAACCGCCTAAATTAAAAATGAGTTTATCCTTGGCTAGGCAGATCGTCTTTGCACACCCCTAATTAACAACAAAAATTCCATTCCCATGATTCATACCTTGGGTAGTGTGGAGCGATTGTAATTCAGTTCAGTTCAATTTTCGGATCAAGATAGAATAATCAACAATACCCATCTCCTTGGTATCTGCGACAGGGCTAGGTGATCCATATATAAGTGTGGTGAAGGCAGGTACGTATTGCCGGGATTTACAACGGCAGTCTCAACGGTTTCTTTTTTTCTCTACAATTAGTGATCGCCAGGGGTGCTCAGTGTCACGTCACGATACTTACAGTACACTTGTAGTGTTGTGTTCGTAAATGTTTCTCATGTGCTCAGAAGGAGCTTGGGCCATCTCCCGAAGAATTTCGGGCGCCCGTTGCGCTTCGGTCCTGGGGAGGGTTGAACAATCATTGGCTTGTATGACTCTGATCTGCCATCAAGTGGACCATCGCCAATCATAATGAACCCTGGAACCTTGTCCTTGTCGAGAGAATGATCTTCCTTGATTATCTGGGTCCCTGCCCCTGTCCCTGCCCTGCCCTTGTCTTGGACCTTAACCCCTGTCAAGCTGATGCTTTTCCTTCTTTCCCTGGTCCTTCCACCGTTCTGGTCTCCTGTCACTGAGACATGCACGCTTTGGCACTCTGCTGTTCGTAGCGGAGTGGCTTTGCTGTAGATGGACGATCAGACCGTTGCCGATCGGGGGCTATGGGGTCCATTGTTTCCATATCATGTATCCAGCCAGGTGTCCAAAACAAAGCAAGGGTTCATCAAGCACAAGCACAAGCACAAGCACAAGCACAAGCACAAGCACAAGCACAAGCACAAATCACAGGTACAGACTGATCTGTTCTGTCCTGTACCGTTACGGTCTGTACCTGGAGACAGAACCATTCCTTTCATCGGCCAGGCTCACCTTTAGCACGCTTCATTTCGCCGATTGCGCGACTCAGAATCCTACAACAACCTTGGAAAATGACTTTTCTTCCCCTTGACGCTTCGGGCTTCATAAAAAAACGGTTGAGGCTATCGTGGTTCTATCGACACATCGACCACCGCTTGCGGCTTAGGGCGTGCCGCTATTTGATTGACATCGAGTCAGCCACAGATGGGATGTTCTGCTCATCAACGACAATGACCCATGATGCCAAATATCTTGGCTCGATTTGGAGCAAGGGTCATGAATCCGGCTAAGAGGCTCCACTACCGCTCCCGCTCACCGTTGGCTATATCGACTCCCCTCTCTGCTTCCCCTAACTTGCTTTGTTTTAGCGGATCAGAGATGACTCTTGCTGGGGAGACCCCTGACCCTGAGCTTGAGCCTGACCTGGCGCTGGCGTTGGCGTTGGCCCTCACCTAAGAGTCAAGAGTCAGAATGAACCCTCTCCAAGACTTGTCTGTGTCGTGTTCCTTGTCCGTTCTTATCCCGGCCGCCCCAATTTTCTCTTCTCTACCCGCCCATAACCAACCCAACCTAGTGGGTAGCAGAAAAAATAGCCTCCTAGGTCTTAGGGTATAAAAATAAGTAGTCTAAGAACTATAGTCTAAGGAGCATAAAATGACCTACTAATTTCGTCTCTTATGCTCCCAGCGGTCGATTTTTCTGATACCCTGGCGCCAACCTTAGATTCTCTGCCGCTACCGCTGCTACTGCTGTGTTGGGCTGAACTGACTGAACGTAATCAAGAAGGGCCGTTGCAATGGTCTCAACCCGGATCTTGGGTAGGTTCCATTACACCTCATCTCATCTCATCTCATCTCCCTGGTACAACGAAGAAAAGGAACCTGCTGCATGCATACACAGATCCTTCCGAGTAATGTACGATCCCTCGCACATTTTACCCCGAAGCTGTGACGATTCATCTTTACCATCGGCCGTTGCTGCATCGTAACCTTAATACTGTGGTTCGTTGGGTACGTCATGGCGATTATCTCGGTGCGATATAGAGGTCGTCTACGATCTCTCCGTCGCCCATCACTGGTGAACGATCGTACGCAGCACAAAACGTGTGCTGGCAAGCTAGAGAGCCTTGCATTAAATTGCATGCAAAAATCCCCATCGCACAGCACTCTACGTGTTCAATTTTTTACACATAGTATTTGACTCTCATTCCATGTTTCTTTGTTCTCCTTGCATCTTTCCTTCTTTAGTGTTGATGATGGCGCGATAGCGGAACGATATTATCGTAAGATGGGCGATTAAGCAAAGGGTAAACTCTATGACAGACTACGAGTGATGCAGTGCTCTAGATCAACCACGATCTCCTTGGGTAGTTATTGCTCTCTAGCACACGTGGAAATAGACTGCCGCTGGGTGATCATTCCGTGCTACTCGATGGGACATAGCACAGGTGCCATGTCCTAGGTCTAGTACCATAGCGTTTTGATAAGAACTACTACTGTGGTTTATTTCCAAAACAGTAGATTGTGTTGGTGTTTCTAACCCAATTTTCCCTCCATTATGAAGCTAATAGGTACTGTGGAAAGTGAATACCTGCTTCCCTGCCGTTTGCATAGGTGACAAATCCATCAGCGCCTTTACGACTAGAAGCGTCCAGATTGGCCTGCCTATCTACATCCAGAGATAGTCGATCAAGGGCTTACGCTGTAAGTTTTCTACTCAAAGCCCCTGCACACATCATGACGAATTTCCTTTTTAGTAGTTTGCTGTTACTGCTACAGGATAGGCATGGTCTGTTGATTAAACTGCACGGGTAGACTACGTGCCGTGTTGCAAAACCGGCCCTCCGTGTCGGGTATTGCGGGCTATCTCCCAAGATTAGTAGACGGGAACCAACCGGGCATGCAACCCGGAAGTCGTGCAGAGGTAGGCGCCTCGAAAAGGAGTTGAGGACGGCAGGGAGGAAATAGAGAACAGGGAGATGACACGGTCCAATTGAATCAAAGTTAGCAAACAAAGAGATAAACCTACACAAATTGTTTGGAGTCTTGACGGTTGACTCTCTATCCGACTTTCTAACCTAGAATAGAGAGGGGTGCCCGAAACGTTGAACTGGAGGGACGGGCTGGTGCAAGACTCTATGTCAAATGTCATAGGTAGGGCAGCGCTTCCTCACGGGGCTGCACTGCTAATCCTTCAGCAGCCAGTCATCAGAGAGATCGGGCGGACCCAGAGATCTGGTTTCAGCGCTCTCGCTTATCGACTCACGGGATCGGAGAGGGTTCAGGAAGGTTGCCCGAGGAAGTGCAGGGCCAACAGATCCGCCACCAGCTAAGTTGCAGTTGTAGTTGCGCTAGTCCTTCCTTAGTCATCTCACTGAATGCCCTGAGGCACCCCCTAACACTTTGGGACCTAGACATTTCATCTCGTCACATCACATCACATCACACTGCACACCAGCTAATACTGTATTGGCAGGATATGCATCAAGAAACCTTATTCCTTCTTTTTTGACGTTGGCCGATGATCTCTCTGAGAACGGATGAGAGGATCGCAACGGTTCAATTACCCATTAATCCATTATTTCATTTTATGTGATCGATCTGACGTATGCATTATTTGTTCAGTCCAATCCAGTCCAGTTCCAAGATCACCAGGCCGGTAATGTCTCAATGGTCATCGCTACCTACCTACACTATAATATCTACCATACAGAACAAAGTCTTGACAAATACAACAGACAATACTCAGAACACCATGCATTCCTCTCCAGCCCAGGCACAGCTACAGACTTTGTTAGGCTATCGGTCGACAAACGGTATGCCCTGGTCTAGTCTACCTACAGCACTATCTGTATCTAATCTAGTTGCCATGCTGCGCTATACCATGCCATGTCGTTGTTGAGGGGATAGACACTTTGTTGCCTTACCCGTCCCGTTGATGGGTTCCTAGACTAGTGACAATCACATTCCTGCCTACCCGCTGCCGACCCAGAAGTGATACTCGATCCAGACACTCGATGAAGTAGCATTCCTGTCGTCGACGCCACTCTTGTGCCGTTCGACCTCTTTCAACCTTAGTTTGTGAATTGCCCGAACTCTAAGCACAATAAGGTTCTGCACCGGCGCTTTTGTCCGAACTGACAGGCTTGACACTGACACTGACACTGACACTGACACTGACACTGACACTGACACTGACAAGTTGGTTATAGCCTTCTCCAGGTTTGTCCAAACCAGCAGTCTGACTTGTTCCTCTAGAGCTAGATCCCGTCCTGCCGTCGAGACAGCCTCAACCGTACCCCATTGCATACTACGCTACATCCGTCGAGCTTCGAGCCTCACGCATGAAACGCCTCTCGGTCATCTCAACCATCCTCCAACCCGAGCCTATCACTCAAGCGCTGGGAAACTTTGATATATCTCCCGGCAACACCCCCATGCTGTGTTTGGAAGTACTCACGTCAAACTTACACCTCTTATAAGCTTTAGCCGTTGATATAATAGAAAACCTTGACTGTTCAGCGGCCAGACCTGGCCAGGCCTTGCTTGCTTGCTTGCTTGCTTGCTTGCTACTACTCTCTATGTACATGCAAAAGTGCCCAGCACTGATCAAAGAATGAGCCGATGCGTATCAACAGGGCCCTTTTTAACTTTGCTGGTCCGGGAATATCGCCTGCGTCTGGACGTGAAGGCTTCACCATCTATATCCACTCTACTGATCTCGACCTCCGGCTTTCTTGACGGTGTTGAACCGTTTGCCGACCAGTTGACGGTTCCTGACTGTTCTCGGTTTGAGCTACCGGCTCGTTTCCGGTAGCCGGCTGTCTAACTGTTATATCGTCTCCAGGCACAAACGAGAACTGGCGACGATGCCGAGTGTTTCCTTGGCCAATGCTTTGACTGGGCTTGCTCTCTGAAACTCTATCCTGCTTCACTTTCTCATGCTCATGCTCATGTGCACTTGTTTTCGCAGCGTAGATTGGTTGGCCGATAACACCAGCCTCTTGCAATGACACTGTATTCTCGGTTGAATTGTACTTTCTCTCGGGATTGCCTTTATGTGGCGGTTTATCGACTGCGTCATAGGGAGTTGGGCCAATATGAGGCACATAATCAGTTGGAGGATGCCGACCTTCTCGGTAGTGTTCAAGGTGTGTCTTTCCATGGTCAACATGTTGAGCCTCAGTTCGGCGAGCACCGCCGCTGGTGGTGGCTTTCATCTTCTCCATCTTTCGAAAAGCGTGGCTCAGCCTGATCTCCTTGCTAGAGTCCATGGTTCGTGTACGTGATACTGTTGCCAAGTCAGCACAAAACGGGTTTACTTTTGCTTCAAGCCAACACTTACACACCGTGTTCTGTCGTGCTGGCAAAGTCGAGTTGAGTGCTGCTTCTGTATTGGCTTTCTGGGAAGTAGCACCGGAGGCTATTTGCGTCACTCGTCAGATTGTTTGTTGAGTATTGTTATGCATTCCACTTACCCACGGTGTCGTGACAAGTATTGTCGGGGTTTGCCTCTGTAGACGTTCGCCCCTTTGCAGTATCACTTGGCCTGTTTCTGATGAGGCTTCCTACTCTAGCTAGTACCACAGCTTCCATGCCTTTGTCGGATGTATCATGGATAAATATCTCAAGACGTTTGACTTCAGCTTTGTATCGTGCATCCTGAACCATCCAATGTTCTTCTATGGATTTGTGACGATCTCTCTCCTTTTCCAACTCGTCTTTTGCTTCCGCAAGCTGCGATTCGAGCTCGGCGATTTTGAGGTGCCGGGTGCCATAAAACTCGCACAGAAGCAGGACATGGGGACGATACTCAGCAGACAGTGGCTTATTTGTTTCGGTTGTCATCAGCGCAGCACGTAGAGATTCTGCCAATTGGTCAACTGACGGGCTGTGCCAAACCTTTTGGCTTGCGTTCATGAACAGCTTGTCTGCTTGGTCCAGAAGTGCGTCTGTACTAGTCAGCAGGTCAACGCCTCGGTCAATCCGAGATGCTCCTTCCCAGCTTAGAAGCCGTGACATGGTTTTCCTCTTGTGCTGAGTATGCGCTTCTTGGTTTTCGGGGGTATCCTTGAGGATATCGTTAAGGGCAGCTTCGGAGGCACGGTACCTCGGGTCATGTTGGCGTGCTCTATTGGTACCGAAAAGACGCAACCTGCCTTCGTCGGCCATAGTGATGTTTATTTTGTTTATCACGTTTGTGTAGGAGGTTTGTAAAGGCTCATGTTTTTGTCGATGTTTGACAAAAGGGCAACGCGTTTGCTCTCGCCAGCTGCCTGGCACTGGCAAACATGACGCTGTGGTTGAGAAAGTCCAAAATTGCCCGGAGGATAATCATTGCCTGTGATTCACAGTCTCTAACCCCCTACACCACTGATTGAGATGGAAATCTTCTTCGCTACAAAACACTAACACTGGCCCTTTGCTATTGTTTACCTAGTCAAGATAACACACGCAAAGCCCCACGATAGGATAGGTACTTCAGCAGTGATATCTATCACTGTAGAACACTGACACTACCAGGATAACCGTCCTGACTATCAAATAAGTGGTTCTAATCAGCCATCTCAAAGAGGTCCTTGTGTGAGTTGATTTAATTGCCAAAACAAACGAAGTGGCCTCGAATGAAAACGTCTAATGGTAGGGCATGCGATCTTAGTTGATCAGATATAATATAACTATAATACATTCATACTATATTCTGAATCCTTAGTCACGGCCGGCTGTGCTGGATAACTGACTGCTCATTTGTGCTGGGAACTGGCCTCCAGAGTCTGTGTTGTTGTTACATCTACCTGCTTAAGGGCATCTAAAAAATTGGCTACTAAAAGCATAGAATAAGCCGATATGTTATTTAGACTAGTTCTTAGACCACCCCTTTTTTATGCCCTAAAGCTAAGATATCGAAGTTCCTGATAATTCCTGATCTCGGAGCTCTCAAACCACTCATACATCCTCCTATATGGGACAATTCATTATGTCTTGTCCTGAACGACCCGGACAATATACCCTGGAATTGGTGCAAACTTCTGGCTTGGAAAATCATGCGTCACCTTTCGCCCATTGACTTGTGATTCAAATTTCTGCTTTGGCAACCTTGGATGTCGTATCAGAAGACGGTTCAGTGCCTTTCATCTTTGGCTTGGCACTCGGTTCCTTTGTCTCTGTTACATCATCATCTTTGCATTTCTCGATCGGGGGCTCTTGACCATCGGGGTTCTTACGATCCTTGAGGAGTGATGGGGCCAGAGGGGTTTCGGTTGTGTGAGACTCTGATATTCCATACTCGTTGCTGCGAGGGGAATCTGCTCGTACGGGTAAGATGGCTGTGATGCTCGTCTCGGTGTCTTCTGTCTTCTCTGAAATATCGGATAGAGAAGAACATGTGTAAGCCAGCACAGGACGATTAGCGTCTTTGTAAGCAACCGGTTTCTTGATTGGGATTTCTGGCAGAGGGCGAGTAGGGTGGCTTGGCGGTAGCATCACAGGAGCGTTCTTGACTATTCCACGAAGTCGTATAGATAAATCAGAGGACGTGGAGGAGATGCCTTGATCCGATTTGGTGTGGTTTGTGCCTTCTGATCTTGATTTCGGAAGTGGCGTGCTGGTCGTTTTGTAGTAGGATGGTGTACCACTCGGCCCCCCGGTTTTTGTACTTCCTGTAGAGCCTTTTTCGGTGTGCGTCGACGATCCATCCAGCTTCTCGGGGCGAGGTGCTAGGCTTAGCTGGTACAGGTTCGACCAGGTACGGTAGTGAAAGCGAAATGTGACAAAGGGGGATTCCTTCGGGTCGATGAGAATCCAGTCATAGTAACGGGCTTCGTCCGGTGAATCCAGCAATCCACCTGAAGGTGACCTGCTCTCAGTTAAACAAACTGTTGTCAAGTGACAGATAGAGATTGACTAACCCGATGCCATAAGTCTCCTGGCCACGGTGCTTCTCCAAGACGGGGAGTCTTCGAATTCTCCCTTTGGCACGAAAGGTCTGGACTTCGATAAACCCTCCCTCCTCTGCGATTGATTTGTGTCCAGTTGGAAGGAAGCAGAAGCAACGAGCTTCTATACCATCTCTGATGTACAGCACACCGTCTTCCTTGTACTTCCAGCGGTCACTTGGCACACACAGTGAGCGCACAATAGAGCCCGAGGCCTGAGTAAGAGAACCTGCGCCGCAGTTTGCGACGTTTCTGCCATTTATGAATATTTTGAAATAGAAGTAAGGTGGTGGCTTTACCACTTTAGCGAGTGTGTAATGAATACCGAAATGAGTACCTAAGCTCGAGTGTTAGATATCAATGTACAAGTATGTTCGGTTTGCTGGCGAACTACCTGGCTCAGAAGGAATATAGACAGATATTTGGGGTTTAGATTCCTGAATCTGTTGCGAATTTGATAGGGGAAATTCGGGGAGCTTTTTGGACCCAGGCTCAGTCACAATAGCAACTTCAACGCCTTGAAGAGAAGGCATGTCGGGCTAGTAAAGTTGCACAAATCGCTTCAGACAGCGAGGGTTGTGCTGGAAGGGTAAGGTCTGAACAAACGTGTGAGGTGTGTGAAGTTGAATATGTGCCAAGACGAGGAGGGACTGGCAGCAGCTGTCGGCTGGTTAGATCGGAATCTCGGTGATCGCAACCTTTACGCTGAATTCTCCTCTGTTCACACCAGGTTAAAATTTCACGTGGGTCATCTTTTGTTATTTGCACCAAAGAGCATGCATTACTTCTGCGCTCATAAAGGCCATAGATCGCATGCTCAAAAAAGAACTGGGAAACCTGGCCAACCTCACATATCAGAATTACCCAAACATTTGCAAAATACAAACCGACGCAGCGCAGGTATATCAATACAGTGCAAGCAAGCTCGCAAATAGGATTTTGAAAATTCCATGGACACAATATTGCCCGGCTAATCACGAAATATAACCGAGATCAGTTGAGCAAATCAATTCCGTTCCTTTGTATACAGTCGATCGATACAAAGAAGCCGGCGAGCATATAAGGTCGCTCGAATAACATTCATCGTGCATTCCACCATCTAGCTTCGTCCCAGGACCTTCTTTGTGTCTTCCTCCTTGTCGATAAGTCCCAAACTCCTTATTTGCTTCACACTGGGCGCATCGTCGCGTGCTGTAGCGGACTCGGAGCGAGCGTAGGCGGCTTGCATAGCAAGAGCTCGAGCGTGCTGCCAGATTTTGTCAGTTCGCCGGGTATCCCACGAAGTAAGGAACAGAGATGTAGGCGTACCTCCTTCTTGTGGTGAAGGCACTCGTAGTAATCCTCGAGAACGAGACCGCACTTCTTCTTGCCGGAGTCGTCAGCGGCAGAGGTGTTGACAACATAGCATCCCATAACCTCCTGCCAGAAGGGAAAGCAGCGGCCGACGCCTAGAGTCCAAGTTGATGTCGTCAGCCTATGACTGCTTGCGTGATGGTATCAGCGCTGCCATAGTAGACTTACCGCCGTTCATTCCATATCCCGACGCCATCTTGAGCCAATTGGGTATGTGTCGGGGCTTTGCGCGGGTCGGGCGAGGAGTTGTAGTTGAATTGCGCTTCGTTGGTCGTTAAACAATCGGTCGTCAAGTCAAGTCGAGCCGATGAGTTCACCCGTACCTTGGCCGAATAGAATACCTTACTAAGTCTAACCTAGCAAATCAGAGTAATTGGATTGGTTGATTGGGTGGGTCTTTTGTCTTGACAGTAGAAAATACCGCTGACCGTGTGTGGCGCAGGCAAAGAGTGTGGCTGAAGCAGCTTCCCAGTAGCCAGGGCAGCTGTTGTCTACCTCACTTACCTCACTGGCCACTTTGTTAGTTGACTTGTTAGCACTATATCTAGTGCACATGACAACCTCGACAGGAACAAGTTGTATTCATAATCTATTGTCAGGGATACAGATCGACCATATCACTCACTATGGCGGCTAATACGCCCCTTGGTCCTGCTAAAGTGGTGCTCCTAGCTGTACACTTTGCGACTGTCGCCGACATTGACAGCTTGGCCTATCTTATAACCCAACATGCTACAATCTTGCGCCCAGATCTGACGCTTCGCATTATTCTCACCTACCTACCCGAAACTCTCAGTCCGTCAACCTACGTGCCTCTTTTACAGGCCATAAGCGCCAACGAGTCACTGTCGCAGCCAACTTCGGACTACCAGCTTGACACTTCTCACATTCACAACATCTCGGACGAACAAGCTTCGAGAAAAGTCAAGAAGCTTCACCTAATCCCGCTTAAAAATGACGATGTGCATTTTACTCAAGAAGCCGACTCACTCGCCTGTTTCCTACTTCTGAGAGCCTACAGGATGGACGAGGAGGCGGGCATGTTAGCCCACGTTCCTGAGCTACTCTCCCCGTTCCTTCACCTCTCACAAGAGCTCCATACGTGGGCAATCTCAACAGTACTTCCTCTGATCCGTAGAAATCATGAGTACTATCCTCAAAGAACGGCACGCTTGTCGCTGCTCGAGTTTCAGAATTTACCCGACAGAATGGCCATTGACTATCTACTCGCCGAGACTGGCGTTGTTGAGGAAGAGTATGACCTGGCTGGTCGCGATCTGAGTGGCTTGGTAGGGCCTTGGCTACATAACGATGCAAGGTGGAAACGTGATGCTTTTAATGAAGATGTGTCAAGTGATTCCGGCACAGAGCCTGATCTTTCATGTCCCGGATGGGAACAAGCTATGGAGTGGCTCACCTCCAAAGCGTCAACCTCCTGGCGAGTTGCCTTGAAAGCTATTGAATCCTGGGACGGGCCATCGGATATTGATTTGGGAGGTGATGCTAGTTCCTGGCTTCAGGAGAACCAGCAACAGTATTTGGACCGGTCCTATGCCAGGGCTGTGCTGGCCTCAGCCTACCTCGTTCCCGATGCTGAAGCAGAAGCATTGGAGGGCGCATTTAGAATATGCAACAAGATTCGGTCCCTCTTAGACGAAGATGTTGGCACAACACTTCAATCGGCAGTTGCGAGTCTGGCACCCGTACCTCCCTTTGACATGGATGCCTCCGGTGGTGCAAAGGCTACAACATATTTGCGCAACGATCTTCTACAAAGCACAAATCCCCTCACAACTCCAAAGGAACAATCTCTTGATTTGTTACCTACTCTAATACAAAGTGCTTACCTTCTTACTTGCTCAGGCGTCCCATGTACAGTCCGCAAGGCAGGGGATTTGGCATTCATTCAAGATCAGCAAGAGCAAAAGTCTCAACTTGGTCGATTTGTACGAAATCTTCCCACTCGCGCATCCGATGACGATGATTTCTGGGTCCGGGCACGACAGGAAATTCTATGGTTACACAGCTGGGGAAACAAACCGGGCTCCGTTCAGGATGGAACTTTTCAAGGCGTTCTTGGCAATGTGACGCTCGAGTTTATCGAAACAGAACTCTTGAAGGCCATGCTCTCACGTTCACGTAAGTTTAAACAGCATACTCTTTCATAATCGAGATCTGACATTCATCAGGCTATTCTCTGGCGAGGTCTCTCTACGATCAAGAAGGGCCGTGTGCCCCCCTTTCTGCGCCAGCTGTACTCAATACGGTTCAAAACTCGGCTTTGAGCGCGTTCGATAATGCCTCGAACCCCAATCGAACTAGGGGAGGCTTGAAGAAATGTGACGAGATGTAAGCTGGCTTCTGATCCTTCCAGGTATATTCTTGCTAACCGGGTACCAGTATCAAAGCCTTTCCCATAATAATGAACAATACTCACCCCATCAGACGACGTGTCGAGGCGTTATTAAGAGCTACCCATGCCCTGAGTGACTATCGTCTTGTTCTTAAACAGGGCGAACCCTTTAGCCCGGTGGTCCTTCGAGTGCACTCTGATCCTGTTTCCATCATCGAGAAGGTTTTGGAACAGAATCCAAAAGCTTACACTCGTCTGCAAGAGTTTATTGAACTGGGGAGCAATATGGTCGATGCAGATCTACCAACTCAAGCAAGGTCAGGCATTCGTCAGCCAACAACAACTGACTTGAACTCTGTTCGGTCAATGGTTGAGAAGCGCATTGTTTCAATTTGTGTCGGAGCGGCCTTACGTGAAGATGACTTTGAAACCGCTTACTCCTATGTAGTCAGCCGTCTAGGCGTTGACGAGACTGAGCGTAGGAAACAACATATCAGTATTTCTGACGAATGGTCATGGAAGGCAGCACTGGATGCCGGCAAATATGTGCGTACAGAGAGGTCTCAGAAACCAACACATTTAGGCACGGCGAGTGGAAACCCAGAGATTCGTCATCTCGAACAGCGTATTGAGTGCCTGGCAACTTCTCTGCGCATTGCACCGCCTTCTCAACTTCAGGAAGTATTGAAGACTTTCCGTCGCTGCGAAGAACAATTAGACGCTGCAGTCAAGGAGGAAGCTGCCCGCGAGGCCGCTTGGGATGCTGCAGGCGATCTCTCCGGACTCCCTGGCTCGTTCGATGCACCAAATCCAGACAAGGCATATCCACCACGCAACATTACTGCTAGTGCAACCGCTCGCCAAGCTGAAGAAGCACCGATGTCTCTGTTCGACCTGTCCAGGGCCACGGCACGAGTTGCATCAAAGAATCTGACCGTGTTGTCAAGCCTGCAGGGTTCACTACAGAATTCCTTCACGTCCGATAAGACGAATCCAGAATCGGAATCCTCTGAATCTGAGCTGCATGAGCAAAACAGAACAAGGAAGAGAGATCAGCTAAGAGAAGCTGCGACTGGTACACTGGTGTCTGGCGTGGGCTGGCTCTTGGGAGCTAATCCCAATCGACCTGCCAGCGGACAACAGTAACACGAATACCCAAAGTTTCTACTTCTTTAATGCAATGCACGCCACGGTATCGACAGACAGGGCTAGGCGTTGCAAATGATGTAGCCCTATGACCTTTATAATAATTGCAAAAATAACAAACAAAAATCTTGCTCATCAATTAGACATGTTCACCTCAAGTATATAATTCAGTTGTGGCCCGATCCGTATTCGTGACGAGATCTGCAATGTTTACACATTCACTGCAATACTTCCTACTGACTAACGCGATGAATTTTGTTAATTCACATAAAACCATCCATGCCTCCACCATGTTGGCTTGGGCCAAACATGGACATCTTCCTATACTCGCTGCGAAAAGAAACAGAACAAAAGTGTCGACAAAGTTTATATACTTTCTCACGCGTATTGGCGCAACTATTTAATGTTAGTAAGCAAAAACATGTCAGGGCGTGTGTATGGAGACTTACATCTAGAGTAAGGGTTCTTGAACTGTTAACTTCCTGGTCTCGGTAGACGCCCACCAAGCTGTCGCTGTCCTGGAATAGGCCTGCCTTGAGACTAATGACGATGAACTGCATGCCCGGACCTCGGTGATCCTTAATGTACTTCTTGATCTTGTCGACGTTGGCGTTGTCCAAGGCGGCATCCACCTCGTCGAGAACAAAGAAAGGACTGGGCTGGTAGCTGTGGATGGCGAACAAAAGGGCCAGCGCTGCCATAGTCTTTTCACCACCTGACAAATGCTCCATATCTCTGAAACGTTTGAGTGGTGGCATGGCGTGGTACTTGATACCAGACAAGTAAGGCATATCCGTGTCCTCCTCGATATCGAGATAGGCTTGACCACCAAGGGGGTATGCTTCTGACCGAGTGAGGTCCTTGTATACATGCGAAATTTGCTCCTGGATATGACTGAAGGCTTTGTTGAAAAGGTCGTATCTCTTTTGCTTGACCTGGTTGAAAGCCTCTTTGGCCTCCTGTGCTGCAGTCTTTGAGTCTTCATATTCTTGGTCCGTGACTCTCAGTCTAGTTTCAACACTCTCCAGCCTCTCCATTGCTCGCATGTTGGGGTTGAGCTTTTCTAATTCGGACGTCAGGCTTGTGATCTTCTCTGATAGACTATCTTCAACACTAGGGTCATCAGACTATATTACTGTTAGTAACTCCTCTTCATGAGCGATGGTGGCACTTACAGCTTTGAGATCCTCGTCAAGGCCATCAAAATCTATCGCAATTCCATGATCATTGAGAGCCATATCCATCATTTCCTCGTCATCTTCGTCGATATCCATCGCGTCTGGGTCCTGGCGAAGCAATTCATCTTCGTTAGGTAGGTTATCCAGAGTACCCTCCACAAGCGGTATACGAATTTGTTCCAACCGGCATCGTCGAAGTAACGCTGATTTGCTCGAACTGTTCTTTTGGACTATCGTCTCAAGAGCGTTGATATCTTTCAAGTGAGCGTCAATATCCTTGGAGCGTTTTTGAACCTCAACCTTGGCCTCGGAAACTTTCTGGTTTTTCTCAGCAAGCTCCGATCTGTTCTCATCCAGCGTTTCGCGAAGGGCCTCGAGTGCTTCCTGTTCCTCGCGCAAGGCGTTTTCGATCTCATCCTTGGTCTTGGTGTAAGTCTTGATCTCCTTCTTTAAATGTCGGATCTGTTTCTGTATTGTGTCGAGACGGCCTGCCGAAATAGCCACCAGCTGTTCCTCCCATCCCAGTCTGCTAGACAACTTCTGCTTCTGAACCTCGAATTCGTTGCGCTTCTCGGAAACTTCCTGCTCTAGCTTGCCTTGAGAATCCCTGTAAGCGCGAATGTCGCTGTAGCCAAGTCGCCTACAGAAGTCCCCGAACACTTCATCATCCACTCGCGCAATGGCATCTCGAAACTCTTCGCAAGTGGCTGTGGTGCTCTCAAGCTGTGAAGCCTGTGCTTGGTGCTTGGGCTCGAGCTCCTGAAGCTGCCGCCTCTGATTATCCAGCTCGCGTTTCTTGCTCGCATAGTTCTTGTTGAACGCTACCAGCTCGTCTTTGACGGCCGCCAACTGTCTCTCAAGTCCCGATAGGTCGATCTGTAGTTTTTCTTCTTGAGAACCTCTACGGTCAGCCTTAGGGAGCCGGTCGATCTCGTCCTTCAGCTTGGTAGCCATTCGTTGGAGGTTCTGGACGTCGGCCTCCTCGAACCGCCTCTTGTTTTTCGACTCTGGGCCACGGCCACCAGTCATCAAGCCCGCCTTGTGGATAATGTAGCCTTCCAGCGTCACAGCTTTGACTGGGATCTTCTTTTCGTAACACATATGTTTCGCGATGTCGAGAGAGTCACATACAACGGAACTACCGCATGCATACGACATGGCACGCTCAACGGCAGCATCGAAATCGATTGTATCAATCGTCAACCGTGCGCCAGGGAATCCCTTGGCAGCAGTGTTGACAGCATTCACCTTGATATTGTCCAAGGGAATGAAGGTCATTGGAGGAAATCTCTGCTCCTTGAGATACTGGACACATTCAACGCCAATCTTTTCAGTATCAACGACAACTGAATCAAAGTCTCTGCCAAGTGCAACGATAACAGCCTCGTCGAACTTCTTCTGCTTCGGTTTGCAAAGATCACCAACGCGGCCACGGACACCTGGAAACATACGTTTCAAGGACGTTACCGTTTCTTTCGTTCTGGCCTCCCGGTCGTTTTGGCGGCGGCCATCATCGGCCTCCTTGAGTTTCCGGGCCACATCCTCAAACTTTTCCTCCAGTTCAGTTCGCTTCTGATTGGTCCTAACTCGTTCCGACTGGAGCTGGTTGAACTCCTTTTTCTTGGCATCGATTTCCTGTGAAAGTTCTTTCGAGGCAGTCTGCGCTGATGCCCTACGTTCGTCGATGCTTGCAAGTTCGGCTTCAATCTTGTCAATAGCTGCTGCAATGCTGTCGACTTTTCCTTTCAAATTATTAACAGTAACCTCGTCTGCCTTTCGCTGTCGATCAAGATTTTCGAGCTTGGCCTGATTGGAGCCTGTTCGGGACATGACCTGGGCGCGAAGTCTGTTGTATTCTCGGCGGTCCTCGTCACTGATCTCGCGGCCTTGCTTCTTCATCTGTTCTTTGTAGTCGTTTTCAAATACCTCGCGGGCCTTCTCCACGCTTTCAATACTCCTCTGAACTTGCTGAACAACCTCAACTTGCTCGTCATGTTCCTTGGTGACTTTGGCAACTTGGACTTGGAGCTTCTTGACCTGCTCGACGGATTCGTTGATCTTCTCCTCAACTGGAACAAGACTGTTCTCCTTATCCTCGATATCTCTCGCCTTCGCCTTGATATCCTTGTCGACTAGGGCTACTTGACGATTCGCAGCAGCCTGCTCCTTCCTGGCAGCATCAAGCCTCTTCTCAAATGATTCTACATTACGGCGCAACTCTTTAAGATCTTCTTGATGGTCCTGGATCGCGGCGTACGAGTCGTCCATAGCCTTTTGGAAGTGGTAAAGCTTCCACAAACTGTGTGTGACGATGGCTGCATCGCGTTCATCTGTTTTGTTTTGAAAGTTATCTGCCTCCCTCTTCTGTTCTCGGTATTGTTTGATTTCCGAATTGATGCCGCGTCGTCTGTGAAGCTGGAAGTTCTGGTTTTCGGCAGCCTGCTCGGCCTCGGCTTGCGTCTTTTCGTATTCGGCCTTGAACTCTAAGCTCCCTGAGATCTGCTCAATTAAACGCGTCAGATCTTGTGGCGACTGAGAAGCAATGGCCTCGACATCTCCTTGGAAAACAAGAAAGTTCCGGGCCTTGATCAGGATGTTTTCGCTCTCAAGTGACTCATTGTACTGCTGGGCGGTAACAACGCGGTCGTTGATTCGGTACTCGCTAGCGCCTTGGTTCGTGATGGAGCGCTTCCATTTCTGTTCCTCGCCCGCGTCGTCTTCGTACACAGCCATAACCCAAGCAGTCTTTGGGTCGCCGCGAGAGGCCTTGTCGTCGCCATTGGCGTCCCCGTTAGTTTGCGCAGAGCCATCATCATTAATTTTGGCTGTTTTCAGAACTCGGCCGCGATAAACAAGGTCCTTGAGATGGGCGGAGCGCAGGTGTGAAGATTTGATGCCCAAGACGAAGGAGATGGCATCCATGCTGTTAAAGGGTTAGAAAAGCTCTGTATAGAAGCCAGGCGTCTTACGAATTGGACTTTCCGGATCCATTGGGACCAATAATGGAAGTAAAGTATGAGTCTCCAAAGAGAAGAACATGATGTCCTTTATACGACTTGAAGTCTGTTCAGCTAGTCAGCTCAGAGGCCCATCGTCTACAACTCAATATATAGGTAAGGAAGACGAACTGAATAACTCGAGACGAATTAGTTTGCCCATGGCGACGTCGTGGGACGGAATGCCCTGGTATTCGTGGTTGGTGGGAAGTGTATAGTCGAGGCAGAACGGGGTGATGTTGAGCCAGAGGGGCACACTTGATGGTGAAGCGAATGCGCCAGCGAACAAGGCGCGTCAAAGTGGCCGGGGCTCAAAATGCGACCGACGAATGGCGCAAAGGAATGTTGGAGGGCGACCTTGGGCGCAGGTTAAGTGCGCAATAGATGCTAAAGCTATGTCGCGAGGTTTAACGGATTGCGACTAATAACATGCATCATCAATAGGAAAGTAGATGCTAGATGCAGTTCACCGTCTGGTGTACTCGAAAGATGGGAATGTGTGAATAACGCGTCGCGCGACTGGGTTCCGTCGTCAACTAAGTTAGCAGCAAGTGGGTGGCCTGTGCGATAGAGAGTGCAGTGGGGAGGATTAGGTGACTTAATAGCACCTACAGAGTTCTGTCTACTTCGACCCAATTCAATCAATACCTAGATCCTCAGGCACTGACTGATGAACTACCGACCTAGTATCTGAACATCGGGCTGGCAGGTAATGATTAAATCTTTAGAAACTAGACTGAATTCGTCAATTGATAGCAGCGCAGTAAAGGCTTAGGCACACAGGTTAAATCGAATTATAGTGTTGAGTCGAGACATATTCAGCGTA